CCTGCTGTGAATTTTATGGATAAGCACAGTAAAGAAGAAAATGCAATTTATCTCTTATGTGGTGTTGAAAGTGTAGCAACCTACTGCCCTTAATAACATAAAATCAGCAAGCTCTTTAAAGAAAAGGACAGCTGAAAGTATGTAGGACTGAATGTGGTGTTGTGGTTAGCTATCATGGTACTAATCATCATTAATCTGTTCTCTTAATAGAATTATCTTCACAGAAGAAATTTGATGAAATTAAGAAGGCTAATCAGGCTGCAGCAAAAAAGCTAGTTGAAGACCAATTTAGCTCCTCGTCTGAAGATGATGATGAAGATGCTGAAGTAAAACAAGGAAAGATTTTGGCCAAAACATTTACCATTTACACCAGTCAAACTGGTAAATTTTTTTCATTTCTTGACTTTGGTTTTGGTATGAAAGCATAAACAATGCAGTACTATTGGCTGTACATTAGAATTTACCATAACTGGAGGGAAAGCACTTTATTCTGATGTCTTGTATTAAAAATATTTGTTCCCAGCAATGCATGCTCGCAGTACTTCTTGCTTTTTTTATGCATAATCAGTGGTATAGTTTTGAAACTGTCTTAAGAACTTCTAATAATGTGATTTTGTAAAAGTATACAACTGGCCCCTGTTCAGAGAAAAAAACCAAACAAACCACTTTTACAGCAGTTTCAACATGTACAGAATAGCAGATCAAACATTACTGATTGCTTTAAAAATCTTTATACATTAAAGATGGAGATGCAAGTGAACTGGAACGTACAAGACAGTACATGAATGAAGCTTTTCAGTCAGGGGCTATGACATGTCTGATCTGCATTGCTTCAGTTAAAAGGAACCAAGCTGTAAGTATTTTACAGTAGTCTTTTAGAATATAGTGAATACAACTGTCTGAATAACTTGTGTTTAATTATATTACTAAGGTAATTCTTGGGATTGATAGTTTTAAAATGATAAGAGTACTAAATGCAACATTTGACATCTTCGGACTTTTCAAATGCTTGAAGAAGTAAGTGCTTATATATAGGTAGCTTGTAATCAGAATATGTATTTTTTTACATATGTTTATTATTGTAATGTAAAATAGTTATTTTTAAACTTTAGAGAGTAGCAGATAAAGAAAAGAGCTGCAGGAAGACCGGTGCTTGCAATGGTGCATTCCAGAAGCTATCTTGTAGGAAACACCAAAGCATGAAATACTAGGAAGTTAGGGAATATTATTGTTAGATTTATAGCAGGGGAGCTGAGATAAACTTTGCTGCTCCAAATGCTGATCAGATGAAAGAGAAGGGTGGCATATCTGAGAAGATTGTCTTATTTCATATAGGTACATTTTTCATGGGAGACATTTCAGGACAAATCTTTCTCACTTTTATTTTTATGTATCAACTTTCTTTTGATGTTGACAGGTCCAACCCTGTTTCTGCTACCTTACTTGAATCAAATACGTTTGCAACATATATTTAACACTGAAAAAAGTGCAGAAAATTTTAAACTTCTTATGGTTGATGTACACAGACTACAAGTATCCAATGAAACTGTAGTCATTAACTTTTTCCTAGAAATAAATGCAGTATGTTTTGTATGAATTCTTAACATGTTCAAGCCACATTTTTTCAGATCTTAATATGTTCAGCTTGATTTTAAAGTTCTGTGTCTCTTGATAGACTTAGTCTCATCTCAGCAGAAGTGAGATGATTTGGCAACTTGGAAGTCTTTTATAAGTCAGTGGTTTGTTAGTTATCTTGAATCTGTACCATTTCAGCCAAGTGTATTTGTTTATATAACGTCTCCTGTTTAGCTTTAGTTTTGGGAAGTTAGTTACTGTACTTTTAGAAACTTATGTCACTGACTTTGTCCTCTATAGGTTAATGGGGAAATTCTCCTTGTTTTCACAGTATAATTTTATAACAATGCCATAAGTTACTAAAAAATAAAGAAATTAAAACTTAAATTTTCTGATGCATTTCTCTTACCAAATTGTTATAGTCATTCTGAGCTGGCAATTTAAGACATCAATATGTGGAAAGTACCAAAGTAAATAACAGAAATGCAGTTTTATGAAATTGCTTTACAGCAGCAGGCTGATACAGCCTCCAAGTAAAGGATTGTGATTTCACTCCAGAACTGACAAAGAGAAGTACACTGGGAACAAGAACATAAAGGTTTAGTGATGCAGACAGGTTACTGGCAAAATCAACTCTCTCTTAAAAACATTTGCTTGTAATTCTGTTCTGTTTTATACCTCTCTTGTTCATCAGACAAAAGACACTATGTTGAAAGCCACGCTTCTAATCAAATATTTTTCTGACTAGCATTGTATGTAAATCCTAAAGTTTGAAAGGGGGAAAAATCTTTTTAGTACTTTTACTCCCCAGATGTCTAGAGACGTAGGGTATGGGCCTGGGAGAGAGGTAGCAGGAGAGCTGGGCTTATTTAGTCTAGGAGAGAGGAGGCTAAGGGATGGTATGATTGCAGCCTCTGTCTACTTGGAGCTGTGAAGGTGGCTAAAGCCAAAGTCATCTTTGGTGACAGGTGGTGTAATAAGGGGCAATGGCACAAACTGGGGCTTGGGAGGTACAGACTGGGTATGAGGGAGGTAGTATGACACTTTGCAGCAAGTTGCCCAGGATGGTTGTGGAGTCCCCATCCTTCAGGATTTTCCAACTTTGCTTTGCTTTGAACTGAGCTAAGCTGGCAGTAGTCCTACTTTGGGCGTGAGGTTGTGCTACATGACCTTCAACAGTGTGTTTAAATCAACATGTCTCTGATTATATCAGTATTTTGGGCTCCATAAGCCTCGGCAAAGACTTCCCACAGCAGCAGGAAAAAAGATCATAGGTATGAATCTGTAACAGTAAAACTGTCTCTATAAATCTAACAATAGGTATAATCTATCTTTGGAAACTCATTTTTTAAATGGAAAATTAGCAAGCCTGTATTTCTTTAGATATTAACGGGTGTTCATCAATGGAAACAGAAGGAAAGCTATTATAAAGCAATTGGCACTTATATCTGGTCTTTAGGTCTGGAGCTGTTGTGGATGCTTTTGTATATTTCACCTGGTGTGTATCCAAAAGTGGGCCAAGGACAGCCTTTTCCTTGTATCTTCTCCTTTGACGGATGATGATTTTGGGAAGAAAGATTATCCCTGGCCATGGTGAGCTCTTCATGGTACATTTACAAAGATACTTTTATTGTGAAACATATAAAGTACTGGAGTTACTTTAGAAAGAAATGGTACTTGTAAATGACATGTACACACACCAAAAAAAAGTTCAGAAGACTGACTTTTCTATTGCTTTTCTGAATTATTTTAAAGTTTTCATTAAGATGATTCAGGAACATTTCACAGTGATGTTAAAAACCCGCTGCATCAAATTTGATTTAACCTCTGAGAAGGTAACTTACCTATCATGTCTCAGCTTCTAATATTTATTTCTGAATGGCTTTACATATTAGTCACTTTTAAAAATTGGCACTGTGAAATAAATAAATTAAAAACCTCCAGTTCTAAAATGGCAAGATTTAGGGATTTTCCTTTTTTTTTTTAGTCTCTGTATAAGCCAAGTGTTAAAGCCAGTCTTGCAGTTTTACATGAGATTGTATAAAGAAGGTGGTAATATTGTGGTTGCACGAGTAATGATGCCTGCTTTTTCAGTAGGTTTGTGTCTGAAAGTTCAACAAGTCTCTGTGCATGTTTGTTCTGTGCTTTATTTGCCCACTTACTTTTGTGTGGAAACTTGTAGTAATATATTTGAGACACAACCCTCTCTCAAATTTGGTTGAAAGTGCCTGGTGGATTCAAAAGCCCTATTAACGTGGGATCTCAGAGAGCAAGTTTGCTTAGGAGATAAGGTATAAAATTGTTGGCTCACAGCTTCTCAAGTTGATAATGCCTGTTCTACCACAAACTAGTTTTGTGTTTAAGCACAATGTTTATAATGAAAAAAATTTCTAGGCGAATGGTATTTTATTTAATATTTAAGCACATGAGAAAACTCTGCAGTCACTATGGAGAAATGGTTTATGGCCTGTAATGTATTATATAAGGACAAACTGACATTTTATTTGATAAAAATGAATACGTAGGTCTTTCAAAGCCTCTGTTCTCCTCTAAGGAGGAGCAACTTGTCTGTTGTCTTTTTCTAGTGTAGCCAGAAATGGGACCTATTTTGTTTCTCCTTCCTTGTGTTGCTTCTTTTGTCCATGGCTTGCACCAGAAAGCCTTTAGGGACTTGTGGCACTAACCAGTTCCAGGCCTTTGGTGCCTACCTACCTTTAGAAATAATGTATTTTTTAATATGTGACACCATCAAGGATAACAAATAAAGGTGTGCATCTTATAATATGATATGCTATATCATATTATATGATGATATATATATAATATGATATATATAATATGATATATATATATGAGATGCTGAACTGATGCAATCTAAAATCTTTCAGATAAAACTTTAATTATTATGCATAGTTTTGGTTGCATTGCTGAATCTTGTTTTACATAGCTTATAAATTTCTACTGATAAAAACCTGGTTTTTAATCTCTTTTTTTTTGATTGGTTCTGTTTAAGTAGGTTAACTCATTGTTGCGTACATTCCTTTGGTATTACTTGACATAAAAATTGTTCCGTATGCTCGCTACACTGATTTATTTATTTATTTATTCTTGGAGAAAAAAACTATTGCAGTGATATGACAATTCCTTAGATATTCTAATGAATGTGTTGTAAAATCTGACATACAGACAACCTTTGTCATATAATATAAATTTAGTTGTGTTGTTGGTTACAGTAGTCGTAAAAATGTTAATTGGTAGTCTGGTAACAATCTTGGGAAACTGAAATGGTAACAACTGCTTTTCTTTTAAAAAAATTCTTTGAAAAATTGCTTTTCTTTTCACTCCTTCTTTCCCTTTTTGTAGTCCAAAATGTAGATTTGAATACAAACGGTCTGAAACTCCCAGTAGGTATTACTGTTACTGTGGAAAAGTGGAGAATCCAACACTGGACCCATGGCTGGTACCTCACTCCTGTGGTCAGATATGTGAGAGGGAATTCAAACCTCCTTGTGGTCATAAATGTTTGCTGCTTTGTCATCCAGGTAAAACTATTGTGTTTCTTGGTTGTATGACCTGTATTTATGTAGCTGTTACACAGTTTTACTTAAAAACTGCTGAGTGGCCATTAGTGAGGTATTCTCTTTTTCTGTGCTTAGGACCCTGTCCACCTTGCCCAAAGATGGTCACAACAACCTGTCACTGTAAGAAAGCCAAACCAGTGCCTCGAAGGTGCAGTGCCAAGGAATGGTCATGTCGCCTGCCATGTGGACGAATGTTGCTGTGTGGGCAACATACTTGTGAGAATCCCTGTCACGCAGGTAGACCTGCCTTCTTAAACTTCAGAGGAGTAGTTGCTTTAATTGTTAAGATACATCATTCTTTTGCAATTCCTACTCTCAATGTCACTTCACGATTACATGCAGGAGATTGTCAGCCTTGTCCACGAGTCAGTAAACAACGATGCATCTGTGGAAGACAGACAGCAGAAAGACTTTGTGCAAGTCCTCAGTGGCAGTGTGATCAGGTATGTTGAAGTTTATGTCCTTTTTAGGTTTTTTTTTCTCATATTTGTAAAATCTAATTTCTCAGTGTATTAAGGATTGGAAAAACACATTCAGTAGGAAAACAATTTTATTTTTTTGATTTTCAAAGTGCAATCAAAAATGTAAGCAGTAGTATTTGAGAATGGATCTACTTGGTGGCCGAGTTCATTTCTGACAGTAGTTAAAGTGTCACTGTTCTGGAATTCTGCTAGGGTTAAGCTAGCAGTGAATTTGACCTTGTATATTCTGTTTTCTTGTACTAGAGGTTGAAATTTCAGCTGCTGTCTTCAAAAATAAGCATGATACCACAGCTTAGTAGATAAGTTTCATGCTTAGTTACTCCTAATGACTGTAACAGAATGAAAGCTTTGTGATTCATTCTTTGAAGTATATTTGCAGCTTATTCTTAGGACCAAGGCTATGGATTGACAGACTGTAAAAAAAGAAAATAATTTTAAAAATTAAGTGTCAGGGAGGAGGTTGCACTAGGAGGTACTTGGTCATTATGATCCCTGTAAGAAGGGCGCTCAGCCTTCATAGAGTATCAGTTAAAATGTGATTTATTTCAGCTAATGCTATAAAGAAAGAGAGTATAATTTAAACAATAGTATGGCCCTTTAGATGCTGGGAACCCCAAGCTGTGCAGTGTAGAATGGGCCTCTGATCCATGTGCAGCATGCAGTGCAGATCCCATCCATAGAAAAGGTTACCCTGTTTTGGTGATTGAAGCTGTTGTAGGATTTTGTTACAAGAAAACAACTCCATTCATCATTTCTATTGTCAAACAGAAAAGATGTTCACATGAGAACTTCTTGCTTTTAGATAAAGGCAAGGACACGCAGGTGGCATAACCACTGGTAGCAAGTGGGAGCTGCCTCCAATCTCCTCTGCTACAACAAGCTTATCTTGTGGCCAAGGGATACATGCAGCACAACACAGGCCTGAAGGCCAAGCTGTACGTGCAGCACAGCACGACCCTGTGACTACGCAGGTTAACTGTTATGTGAACCACTAACTCCTCAGTATACAGTGGTCTTCCAGTCAAAATTGCTGCAGGGGTGATCAGTTTTATTTGGCAAACACAGCAAATATAAGATTTGTTAACAAAAGTCAGAAAAAGTTAAATTCCATCCAGATGTCTCTCACCCCTAGTTTTTCCCTTTGGGTTGCTTTGTCTTGGTATGTAGTTCTGTTACACTGCATTCACTTGGTTTCTCTGAGTTTACCAGGTGTGTGGGAAACCTTTGCCTTGTGGTAATCACAGATGTGAACAAATTTGTCATGCTGGTCCTTGTGGAGACTGTCCTCGTTCTGGGAAAAGGTCCTGTCCGTGTGAAAAATCAAGTAAGCTGCCTTTTTTTATTTAAAGAAGATAAATTTAAAGAATAAAGTCATCCAGTCTTTGACAGTCAGTAGTTTAGCTTAATTCTGCAGGACAGGGTCTATAAAAAGGTCTTACAAACAGTGAACTGTGACAGCTTATGTTAACTTTTTTGTTTAATTCTTTCAAAGCTTTATTTAGTACCAGGGATTTAATTGGTGATGTGAATAACAGAGTAATTCTAGAGAAGCTTTTAAAAAAAAGAAACAGAATTGGCATTTGAAGTCATTATTATACAGTTTATTTTTGTCTAAATACTTTGGCTTTCTTTCTAAATGTTTGCTTGTACTTCTCTCCGTCTAGAGTTTACATTGCCTTGTACAGAAGATGTGCCCACTTGCGGTGATAGTTGTGACAAAGTTCTGGAATGTGGCATCCATAAATGTTCACAACGCTGTCATCGAGGTCCCTGTGAAATATGCAGACAAGTTAGTCTTAACTGTAACAGGTTCACATTTTGTTAGGGCTTTTAAATACTGTATGCCTGGAACAGTGCATGTCTCCTAAGGAAAATTAAGTCATATCTATCACAAAATCTATGACTTTCTGTTCATTAAAAGCAACTAATTTTTTCCCTACTCCCCCTCCTCGCCCCAACACAATTCTGAATTAATAGTTGAGTATCATGTTTCTGAATTGAGACATGGATGAGGGTTTTACTGTTTTGGGTTGCATTTGTTTATGTGGGGTTTTTTAATTAATTAGGCCCTAAAAGACACTTAATTTTTTCCCTACCTCTTGTAGCTTCCTTGCTGCTTTGTCTTACTATGCTATTTCTTCATTAGTGAAGCGTAAGATGCTGTAACATAACATTATTTACTTAGTAGTAAGAAAACAGTATTTTGCTCTGTTCTAAATATCTTTGGAGCTTCTGTGGTCTGGCCTATAAAGCTATAAGGCTGTTGCTCTGTCTGCTCTCAGTTGTTTCTTTCTGAACCAACTTTGGCTACAAAGTCTATGGGGAAAGTAGTGATAGCAGGGATGAAGGTTAGATAAACCTGCTCATCTACTTCTTAAACTGTCTGTATACGCAATGGATGAATCTAGTTTACCATGCAGGAGAGGTACCTTTTTGTATGAATTTGTTTTGCGTTTACACTTGACATCTTGCACTATGGACTTGAGTCGTTCCCACAGTCAGGGAACTCCCTGACTTCTCTTTTGGTGAGACCGAGGCCACAGTGAGGTGCCATCTAGAGCACAGTGTTTGCAATACCGACACAAGGTCCCCAAGTAGTTATTGCATAGATAGGTAATCTGCTCTGAGCAAGTGATACACTTCCTGTTGTGACAGAGCATTATAATGTTACTCTCCCATGAACTTTTCTTTACAGCTGGTAGTAGAATATTTTATTTTCCACTTTTTCGCCCCCTTTTTTTGTATTAAAAATACCCTTCCTTTTCCCTATCTTGCTGCACAGGAAGTTGAAAAACAGTGTCGCTGTGGAAAGCACACTAAACGCATGCCATGTCATAAGCCATACCTGTGTGAAACAAAGTGTACTAAAATTCGTGATTGCCAAAAGCACCAATGTAGGAGAAAGGTAAGTGTCCAGAGATGATAGTTCTCAAATGTATTTTTTTAGATAACTTTTTAAAATTTAAATATAATGTTTTGTATTATATATAAATCACATCAATCTGTTGTTCCACCTCATTTTATTGTGTAGAAAGAGGAGTTTTCTTCATCATCGTTCAAATTAGTTTGCAGTGTACCAGCATTCTCTGAACAGCATGTCACCAAGAAAAACTCAGTGGCCTCAAAAACTGAGAGGGAATTTTGACAATTTTCGGGTTCCAGAAGGCAGCTTTACTTTCAGATACTTGAGTAGTTGCTGATGCTTTATACATTCTGGAGTAATTAAATCCATTTATTTCCTTACTTTGCAGGAAATGCTGCAAATCTCTCATAACTTTTTAAGGGACATACTCTTATTTTTGACAATGCAGCATTCCACCCCACTTTCTGATATGCATCACTGCAAACAGCAGTGGTCTGACAATTGGGAATTTGAGTTTTGTTTCCCTTCTTATTTGAAGTCAAAGGAATAATTGATAGTTCAGATCTATCTTTGCAGTTTATTGATTCAAGAAGGCCTGAAAGTTGCCTGCTATATATGAATTAAGGTGTTACGAAAGTTGGGCTTCTTACCACAGAGCGCCATGAAAAATACAGTTTTATCCTTAGGTATTCTTGAATATTATTATTACAGTATGTGAAAAGATGGCAAAAGAAGTAAATGCAATCTTGACATCTTTGATTTATGCTAAAAAAATCCAGGATTCTCTTCCAAATTGCCATCCTTCCTTATACAGTTTGGAAGGAAGTACCTTTCAAGTTAAAAGATGGGGTTCTCTCCTGACCTGGCATCCACCAGTGTGGTGGTGTTGTGATGTGTTCTGATTCTTCCACATTACTACTCTATGTAAGAACAGAAAGTAGATATATCTGACCTTTACTACAAAAGTAAAAGATGTTTTAAAAAAAAAAAAATAGTTAGCAACATTTTTGTGCCAAGGACAATATAGTGTAAAAGTGGAGGAAACTGCAGAGTAATGGGGGAAACTGTTGGATATCCTACATGTAAACTTCTGAAATTATTTCAGATTAAACTATTATAAGAACCTGCACTTTTCAAATGTTTTTATGCTTTTTGGAAGCCCTCTGCCTTTTTAGTATGTTGAAATGATTCTTTCAAATGTATGTTTTCGTGTTATTTTATAATTCGAATTTTTTAAAACAACTTTACAGAGGGCCTCCTTTCTGTACCTGGCACGAATTTGAGGATATTTGACTAAATTGTATGAAAAGTTTTTTAAGAAGCATTGAAAAAATGAGATAGTAGAAGAGGGCAATTTGTATCAGAAATGTCTAAGTTTTCAGTTATATAGAGGTCTAGTTTTTGGGGTTTGTTTTGTTTTGTTTTTTAATAGTGCTGTTCTGGAAACTGTCCACCTTGTGATCAAGTCTGTGGGCGAACTCTAGGCTGCAGAAATCACAAATGTCCTTCAGGCTGCCACAGAGGTAAGAATAGGTGAAGGATCCCTGTAGTGATGGAATATTGTTTATTTTTGCCAAACTTCGTGCTTGCATGACTGTGTGGTGCTTAATGAATTCTCTCCCTGGTGGCATGTGGGGGCAGTGTGTTTGAAAGGATTTGGGTGGTGGTTAGAGCTTAAGGACTTACATAATGACAACATGAGTTTTTACGTGGTAATTTTGCTCAGCATTGTTTGTCTGAAAATGTTCTGTCCCTTTTCCAGCTGCTTAATTCAGAATCCATAGCTTGACTTTTTTTCCCCAAATAATTCTGTTCACTGAATATGCATAACAAAGTCCAACTGCATATAGAAATGACTGTGCTGGTTGAGTCTGGATGGTTTTTAAAAATCCTAGAATATGATGTGTGATATGAGTGGGCTCTAAAAAAAAAAAGTTGATGGAATTTGAATGTATATTGGTATCTTACTGGTAAAAGAGAAAAGAAGAACTTGTTACTGACTATGTGAAGGATAACAAAAAGATTTACTTCTGCATCCAGTGGCCTTCGTTAAAAAGATGCTGAAAATGGCCAAAATTACCTGGCAGCTTTTATCCTGGCCAATTGCTTTGACATTCTCTTGGTAGGGGATTAAATTGGAAGGACTGAAAAAAGTGGCTGCCCTCTCAGCAATTTTCCCCACAGAAGCTGCTGCCCTGCTGAAGCAGCAGCTGAGCAGCCTCTGTAGTTTCCCTTAATATTCTGGACTATAAATTGCGACAACTCAGGAAATAATTCACAGCTTGTTTACCCAATCATGCTGTTGAGGCAGTGATTCTTAAGAGGACAGGACAGGTAAATGTGGTAGTAGTCCCAGTTAACCTGCTATTAAATCTGTCACCACAAACTAGCAATTTGTTTTTTCTCTGTTAACTGTGCCCCTTCTCTTCTTCCCCTTCCTCTGCACCCCTCCAAAGTCTGGGAAATACATGATTTTTTAAATTAGCTTGGTTGCTAACTAAATCATAGGATAAAATTCTGGTTGGAAAACTAAGGAGCTAATGCTGCATTATAGGATAAACTTTTACATTGAATAGTGGTTTACATTTGAAAGTGCTTGCATCTTATAGCCTGGCTAAAAGTGACAATGATTTCTAATAACTAACAGCAGTATAAAAATAATAAAGCAGTGCCTATAAGAAAACAAAAGTGAACTTTGAGAATGTAAATATCAAATATATGCACTTTAAAGTGTGTGTAATTTATCAGAACACTACAATTGCCAATATTCAAGTGCTAACTCTTGCCAAAAGTTGCATCTAATGAAGCTAATAAGTATGATATCAGATGATAAATTTAGAAAAGAAATAACTTCTGTGTGCTTTAATAAGTTACAATCTAGTATGATTTGTAATATCTTGTCAGAATGCTTGAAAATATTCCTAATAAAGGCAATGATTTTGATTTCAAAATATTTATAGTCATTTGTTTCTCCTTACACACCAATATCTTAATAGCTGCTGAAAGTTATAATTCATTATTTTATCTTCAGTATGTGATACCAAGTCAGGTTAATTTTGCAGTGAGCTGCAGATCTCAATGACCATTGATTTAAAGGCAATAGTATGCTTTCTAGAAAATAACTTGTCAGATCAGGTCCTTTAAAAGGTACCTGATCTCAGAATTATTAGAGATTACTGATGATAAGGACTTGACCTTTAGTAGGGGTCCCTGAAAAAAGGTAACTTAATTGATTCTGTTTGTGGTTTGATTTTTATGTATCTTTTTTTCTTCAGTATTTAATCATGCTTGCTGAAATTTAGAATGTGTTGCCAGGGTATAGAAATGTTTTGTTTCCTATTGTAACACTTGATTTGAGAACAGCATGCTTTTAACTTCAGGCTTACGAGATCTCTGCCTTTTCATCTTTTTGAGAATGTACGCAGTTGTCTTTGTTAATAGGATAAGGTAAATTGTGCACATATTAGGCACTCTGGGCAGCATACCTTTAGATCTTCATCTTATTTTGTAAAAGAGCTGTTTATGTGTGCTGAAAATATATTATAATTTACTTTGCAATATAAAGACTGTGTACTTCCATCCTTTCTTCTTCAGCAGCCTTTTGTCATTGAAAGATCATCTCCTTGAAGTGTTGCTTCTCAGATCCTGCGAACAAGTCAGAGTTGCTTTAAAAGTTGTGCTGTTAATAATGCTTTCAAAGCATTGTTTTCTTTAAAGTTTCAGAATGCAACATGATTAGTAAGCCAAAATCCCATGTCTAAATTTGCTTTTCTTTAGAAGATGCATATGCTTACTGTTAATTACAATAATAAAACCTACTAGTTGGCACTTGATGAAGAAATAGTGTGGGAGAGCTATAAATTAAAACGTAGATATTGTACAGATCTCTCTCTTTTTTTAAATATATCAGGTTAGTAGCCTAATCAGAAACAAAAAATTAACAGCCATCTACCATTTAGATCAAACAGAATAGGACAATTACACCATGTGCATATTCAGAGTTACGTTGGTTACCATTTCTTAAAATCAGTAGCTTATTCAGATTGTCATATTGCTAATGTATTGATTTGTAGGTAGTTGTAATCCATGTCCAGAGACTGTAGATGTGAAATGCAATTGTGGAAAAACTGTCATTAAAGTGCCCTGTGGCAGAGAGCGCACCATCAAACCTCCCAAATGCAAACAGCTTTGCAGGTCAGTATAGAAAATGTATGTGTTTCTAGTTCTTCACTGGAGTTTAAGCTGTCCTTAAAGAAAGTCAGAAAATATAACTTTAAAAGGCAAAAATATTCCTTTAATATGCTTACAGATATTACTTCTCAGTTTTCTCATATTCTTGACTATGCAGATGGAGATTAGCAATAATTGTTCCTATCAGACACCTCTTTGATGCTGTGGTTTCATGAGCAGCTTGCTGCTGTCAAGGAGGAGGTTCTGTCCCACTAAGCACTTCTAATTCTGTAGTCCCACTCCCTTCAAGTCATCTCTGGTACATTTTGAAGTACCTCCATGAGGCAGTTTACCTAGAAAACTTTATTTTAATTTCATTTAGAACTCCTGTATAATTTTACTGTAATATTAACCTCTGCTGAAGGTGAAAAGTAGGTTTGTTTAAAAAAAAAACAAAACTTGTTCATCTCAATTCTTTGTATGTTGAGCATAATTGTCCAGTGATTGTAACTTCATGTTTCTTGCTGTCATATTGATTCATTCTTGGATTTTACTTCAGTCGACCACCTACCTGTCACCACCCTACCCAGGAGAAACACTATTGTCACTTTGGTCGGTGTCCTCCGTGTCATCAGTCCTGCCAGAAGATGTTAATGTGTGGTCATTTGTGCCCTGTTTCTTGCCACGATGAAGCACTTGTGAAGCAAACTGGATTAGTAAGTAGATAGTGAAAAATGGTGTGTTATTTGTTCTGAAGAACAAGCAACAAGTTGTTTGACCTAATCTTATGTTGGAAGCTTTTGGAGTTCAAAGTGAATAATCCAGCACAGAGGTATGCATACTGCTTAACCGAGAAACTAAGTGGTTCTAGTTTCTTTGTTGTAATCTAATTAATTTTGTAATATATGTATAATTGAATATGCAGTTTTCAGCAGCTATAGCTACTCAAGAAATTAAAAGATTTTTGTTAGAGTTGTATTACAAATGTTTAATTTCAAACTTAATTTTAATTACTTTTAACATAAGAGCAACTGTGATATTTACTAAAACATCAAAATTTGCACAAGTTAAAAGTGAGAAATTGTTCGACATCTTTAAACATGACGCATGCATTGCATGATTATAATTTCAATCATTTAGTAATTGAAATATTCTTCTATTTTTACCTCTATTAAATGCTTAGAATTGTTTTGCTCTTTTTTTGTTTGGTTTTGTGCTTGATTTTTAGCAGTAAGGCCACAGGCCTTCATTTTCCTATCCCTAACCACGCTAAGGATGAAATTGTAATTTTTTGTGTGTAGGGGGTGTTGAGATTTCCACTGGTAAAAAGTTAGTTAGTAGAAAGTGGATTTGTTAGAACTGGGATCTCTTTAGGTGATATGTTTGTTTATGGTCAAGCAGATAGTTCCATTTGCGTTTTGTATTCAACTAGTGTTGACTTTTTGCTCACAGCATCAGTCTGCAGGTCCTTGGGAGCAACCATCTGAGCCAGCTTTTATTCAAACTGCATTACCATGCCCTCCCTGTGAGGTTCCTATACCAGTGTAAGTATTAAAAAACAAAACAAAAGAAAGTTTTAGTATGGAAAGAGGTTTTTTTCTTTTTATACTCTTGAGAGATGGGCATGAAAGTAACCATATTTTCCTCTTCAGATGCAATGAGCCTATGTGAACACTATTCTTGTAAAACTGGGAACATTGGTGGTTGTTTAATAGACATTTTTGTAGTGTGTGCTCACTGTATGGAAGGACGATAGTGTTAGTAAAGATTGTTGTTTCTAATACATGTTGTGTGCAATGCTACCTTAGAAGAAAAATATGAAAATTGCAAAGACAGCTGTTGTAATTTGGTAGTCTTCAATAACATACAACTTTTCCCATATAGTTTCTATCTTGTTTAGTTTATGGGATCGTAATTTTCTGTGTAATTAATTGCTATTTTGTTTCTCAGTTGTTCAGTTATTATATGCTAATGAATGGCAGGTGAGTGCCCTTCGTTCCATCTGCTTGTCTCCTTTCTATTTCTGACTTGTCCAGAAGGTTCTGCTCCTCGAGTAGAGCAGAATCAACTCTTTCTGTGATGATGCTGAGGATATAAAAGACATGATGACGACTTTTTTCACCATTCTTTTCATATTTTGACTATTTGATAGAACTTCTGTTTACATTGTGGAAGAAGGACTCAGAATTCAACACTTATCTGAAGATGAAAATACTGGTTTTTTTGGTCTGTTTTTGTGTTGTAGTCTCCTACTGTTTTAAACCCTGCATACTTCACAGGCATTAGTGCCTATTTGTTTTTTTAAACATCCCTCCTTAATAAGGGAATATTATGCCCTCATTTTATGACTTGAGAGCAGACAGAGGAAGACGATCAAAAATATCCATTTAACTGCCTACATAGATATGTTTAGAACTTAATTTCTCAAGGATTGTGCTATGATTGGTTGTACTTTTGTTCAAAACTATGATTGCTGAGTAATTCTGATACTTGGGCTCAGAGTTCAAAGCCAGACTCTCACAAGGTGAAAAATGTGTAGTTATGAATAGTCTGGTTTCAGTGTTTGGGTAGATGCCTGTAGAAACTCTCTCATATACGTGTTCAACAGAGGTCATTGTGTAACATCATGCATTATGTAGAACACATCTCCTAGTTCCTCTGAATTCCAACCTCAAAATCACCTCCTTTAGTCTGATGACTACTCCCCAGAGGAGGTAAGTCTACTAAGTGAGAAGGAAACAGTACTGGAAAACTTGTACTTAGTTTTCTAACTAGAGGAAGTATTGTTACATTTCGTATTGCTTGGTTCTATTACCATTAGATCACATTAATTCTGGAATATCCTAAATCTCTTGATCGATCTTTGCAACAATAATGTTATTTTTTTATTTTTTCTTCCTTTTTTAAATGAAAGTTATGTGAGAGAAGTTTCCTGAATTTACAAAATAATAATAGTAAACAAAACCACAGATAGAAATTAATATGTTGCTATAAAGCAAAATATCTGACACCTCCTTAGTTAATTGCTAGAACAGTGGTATTTGTATGGATATGATAATGGAAAATAGTTTAAATAATACCATTCTGAATGAATGGATGTTAATGGGGATTCCATCCTTTACCACTGATGTTTTGCAATACTTTTTGATGGTTTTTTTCTAATGATATGGTATCTTTGAACATGAGCAGTCAGATTTGGAATGGAATGTAGTCGGTATCTGTTTCTGTAAATAGTTAAAAGGCAATTTCTGGAAAAATATTTGCTCTATTAATTTTGCAGAACCACTGAGGCTGGAAGGTACCTTGGGTTGGGGTCATCTAGTCCTGCCTCCTGCTAAAAACAAATCAACACTGAATTCAGACCAGTTTGCTCCAGCTTTGTCCAGCTGGACCTTGAAAACCCCCAAGTACATTGATGCTGCAGCCTCTCTGGACAACCTCTTTCAGTGCTTGATTATACATATACTGATTTTTTTTTTAACATTTTTTTTTTCTTTCACTGTGTATCCAGTGAGAACCTTCCTTGTTTAAGAGTATGATTGTTGTCATTTGCCTCCCTGCTATGAACCTCAGTAAGGAGCCTGACTTCATCTTCTTGGTAACTTCCCCTTAATGCTGAAAGACTACTATTATATCCCCAACCTGTCAGTCCCCAGCCTGCAGTGTTGCTGGGGTTTAGTCAGTCCCAGATGCAAGACTTCCTTTGTCTCTACATTTCATTAATTTCCTCTCAGCCTGTTCCTCCAGTCTCTCTAGCTGCTTCCAAATGGCATATCCTTGTGTGCAAAATTGGTGCATTTTGTCTCTTCCAAGTTACTGGGGGAAAAAAAAAAAAAATAGGTCCCAGGCTGAAGAATTCCTCCTGTAATTGCTGTCCAAGTCCAAAGCCACTACCTTTTGAGCCCAGTGATCCTGACAGTTTTTTAATGCATCTAGTAGTTCATCTGACACCATTACATCTCAACTTGAATGCAAGGTTGCTGTGGGGAACCTTTCGTCCGCAGATTTAGTAGTTACATGGCAGAAGGCAATCGGGCTGGTTAAGCAGTTTCCCTTTGCAGTGAAACAGAAGCATGCTGAGGTCCTAAAAGCCAAATTAAGTGCTTACAGGAAGATTATCTCGGATATAAGATAATTGAGCTGTGTAGAGTGAAGAGCAGGCTCCTGTGCGACATCTGCTTCTTATTATACTAAGTGAAAGACTGCTTGCTCTTGTTAATATCCTGCTGTCCTAAAGACCATATGTAGCTATTGGTAGTTGCTTTGTGTTAGAGAAGTTATCAGGGACACTTTTTTAAAAAATACTTTTCTAGAAATTTTTAGGAATTGAATTACAGGTATTTTAGCTTGAATATTAATGATGTTTTCATTACTCTCCCTTATAAAGTTTCAGTAGAGAAATCAAAATAATACTTGGGAAGGAGATGACAGATATGAAGTCAGAGGTAAAAAGAAAAAGAAACTTTTCAAAATAAATTGAGCAAAACATTGACTTAATTTTTAGGAGATCAGTGTTTGAATGAGTCACCATTTAATACCTTCACAATTATGATGAATATGCAGTTTTTCTTTCCTAGGAATGGTAGGCCATCCTAAAAGGGATAGAACTGTAAACATAAAACTAGACTAGATAGTTCTCTGAAATAACTGAAAAATGTGAAGTGATATATTAGTAGAGCCAAAGGAGAAGGTATTTGGAAGCAGTTCAGGTAATTTTCTAAAATAAAAATGATAATTTTCATATACAACTATAATTAATCTGCACATGAAACACTGATTTTGGGACTGCCATCACAAAATACAGCTATCCAAACAACTGTTGAAAAAGAGAAGGCATTGATCTGCATAGATAGATGATTTTCTCTTAGGTTGCACTTTTTGAAAATAGATTGAATTATTTTTGTGTGAAAAGTACTGTCACTGTTTTAAGTCCCTTATTAAAGAAATACATGTTTTCTAAATCTAATTTTTCTCTCTTTAACAGGGAGTGTCTTGGGCAGCATGAGGTGAGTCATAGAAACTGCCTTTTCAAGTGGAGTATGAAGTATATCTCACTTTGTCAGTTTGCAAAGTGAAGTATTAAAGAGAAATATTATATGACTTTATTTGAAAACCAATGAAGTGCCTTATCACAAGGACTTACATATCGGAGGGTATTTTAGTTAATTTTTGAAGAATATATAACTACTTGACTTCTTAGAATTCTTGGACAGAAATTTACAGCTTCATAAATCATGAGGTTTTGTGTATTCTTGCAGTTATTTAAATAGTATTTAAATTTTTTGTGGGGGTCTTTTTTGATTATATACTTCTGGGGTCTTTTTTCCTCATTCTATAGTAGTTATTTTCTCCCTGTCACACACTTTCCTCAGTTCTCCTGCAGACTGCTGTGTTTATTTTTAAAGGATAAGGAACATAGTGTCATATAGGGAAATTCTCATGTGACCTGGATCTAAGCATGCATGGATGAAATCAGGCAATATAGTGGAAACTCTTTAGTGTTACTTATTAGCTTGTCTTTTTGGTATGCAGCCTTCTCCAGTTTTGGATGAAGTCATTGTCTGTTTTGGCTTACATGAGAAGAAAATCTAATTGACACTTGAAGCTAAATAACTATCATCATTATTCACAATCATTTCTAGAAGTCATGAAATTTAAGTTCAACTCATTTTTCTCAAATTTTAAAAGCTGATTGCTAAACTAATCTTTAAAAAAACCTATTGCTATTATAGCTTTGTCTACTAGTAAGTCTGGCATAAATTCACTATCGAAGTGCAGCTAACAGTACTATAACAAACATAGTTTCATTTTAAGCTAGCAAAAGATTCTAGAAAACAGTAAATACCTAAAAATATTTAAAGACACCTCCCTCCCCCTTTTTCTTTTCTTTGACCTTCTTTAATAATCTTTTGGTATGTGTTGTAATGGTAGCTTGATTATGTGGTGGCATCATCTACAAATGTTGTTAACAAAGATTATCCGCAGTCTGTTTGTGCAGCACATTTATTGATCCAATCAAACTGTGAGTACAGCTTCCGTAGAGCTACTTTGCAGCTTGTCGGTTGCTAAAGAAGAATGTGCTATGAAAAGAACAACTGTGCCTATTTGTTTGTTGTTGAAACATCTGGGTTTTGTTTTTGCCTTCCATAGTAAAACTTGCAGCTGTATCAGCCAATGTTTTATTGAGACAATGACATGTTTTGTACTATGTATTTATAACTACTTATTTCAGAATAATTAGAAACCCCCAACCTTCTCTGTTGCATACTAGTTTTAACAGAATCGGTCAATGGCTTTGGGTCATGTTTTCTTTCTGGGTTGCTATATGAAATAAAGTCCTAGGGAGTCTATACCTAACTTTAATTATTTAGATTTACTGATGCTCTATGACATTCTAGATGAAATGTTCCTTCTCAGCCAGCAGAGCGCAGTGCTTCCTTCCTGCTGCAGTTTAGCAGTTTCTGGAGTGAAGTGTCCTAATCTTAGATTTTGATAGCAGTCAAGGAAAGGAATGGTTTGTTAATGTGTGTGAGGGGGTGTTTACAGTGTGTTTTGTGTGCATTGTACATTTTTAATGTTGTTCTGAGATCTCTAAAAAGAAAAAAAAAAAACACGTGATGTCTGTTCAGTGTTTTACAGCCACATTGGCTTTTAACAAGTAATCCCACCTCAAATTTACTTTTGTTAACAAGAGAAAACACTTGTAGGCATTTATGAACACTTCCTCCTATAGTAGTTTGCAGCCCCTGAGGGGATTTTCAGTGGGAAACATGAACTTTTCACAGGTGATGACAGTAGCAATTTTCTCAAGTAAAGTTTTGCTGTGAAGAGGGGCTCATTGCTGTCATTGCTGTACTGTTACTACTTACGTTGGACTATTGTTATACCTCATATAATGGAGGAGGAATAAAAGAAACAAACTAGGAATGAAACAAGTTATAAAGACTTCTTGTATTTTACCATGATGCCTGCAGATGATGAGTAGAAGAGAGAATGAAAACAAACAGCTTAGGAGCTGTATGATAAGCAAATCTACTGTTTTTATATTTTTACTTGGATGGTAATTTTAATTTGTGTAGGTATTGGAGTTAGTTGTTTTGTGCTGTTGTTTTTTTTTTTTTTAATTTCACTTTGGTATTTAGATTAAAGTATTTTTAAGGGATTGACTTAGTCCAGGCTCTTACCTGTCTTTGGGTATTTAGAACAAGCAATTTATCACTTGAAAGACCAGACTTAAAACTACTTTTCAGATTACATAATTATATAAAACTTGTGTTCAATGGAAGTATGATTCTACATGATGTTTAACCTAAAATAAGATTTCTTTTCGCTACAGTGTGCAGCCTTCTTTTAAATAATTTCACTGTGTAAGTTTTGGATGTGTTCATATATATATTTAGAAGAATTAATAACTCTTCATTCTTTGATTTGTAGGTGCTTAAAAGTAGCTCTCGATTTTGTTTCAGATTAAAGGTCAGAAAAATCACCTACCATCAACAGTTGCTGCTACCCCAAAATGAAACTTGACATTTTAATTTTTCTTTGAACTGCTCTAAGCATTGGCATTTCATAGCAGTGTTATACATGTGCTCTTTTAAAATGAAATTATGAGAGCTAATGTTTATATTCAAAATCTGTTTTTATGGGAAAACATTCATTAAAGCCCATACAAGGTAAATGAGGACAAACAAGGAAATCTTAACTCGATATGGTATTAATTTATCTGCTGTGTTTAATTCTCTTGTAATTGCTTCATTTCATTAAATGTTCTAGGGAAAGGGAAATGTTCTGATTTTGTTTCTGTGATGAGTATTTTGAATATCCTGTAATATCAGTCTTGCTGTTCTCAGGCAGATAGAACACTCTTTTTTTTTTAGGAATTTAATGCTATTTTTTTTTTTTTTAATTTTTTTTTTTTTTTTTTTTTTTTTAGTTGTGGTTCATTTATAGGAGGAAGTCCCTTACTCTGCCTCTAGCTAAAATTTTATGTAAAACTTGGTGAGATTCATCTTTATGGCTAAATACCTTGTGAATATTTCTAAAATTTCCCTGCCCTATTGTACTTGATTTTTATTTTATATTCCAAATGATGTATCTCTTGCATTTGGGAGATGTGATGGAAAGCTTCTGAAAGTTGTCCTTTTTATCTTGCCTTCCTTTCCTTATTCTGTGGAAGACCTGTGGTCTGAAAATGATGCCTCCTTATTTTCTTTCTTTTTCCATTCAGCTTTCATAAAAATACTTCTGGTTCTCATCTGCGTTGTTTATTCTGCAGCTTATCAGCCTCCTGGAGCTTGTGGCTTCTTTGATATTTGTCTTTGTAGTAAGAGTAGCAACCTCCATTTAGCCATTTCGGAAATGTATTCCAACTGCAGAAAGTAAAACTTTTCTCTACTTTTTCCTTTGGATTTATTACTAATATCCACAACAGATTGACTTGTCAAGAAATGGAAACAAAATTTGAAAATGTAATGTAAGTTTAAATTAATTGAAATTCTTTTGGTTTTGGCTACAATGTGAATTGTTTCCAGAAGACTCCCTTATCTTTGATTGAATTCAAGTCTTAGGAGAGTCAGTGAGTGGGGCAAGCTGAAGCTATGCTGGATGCAGCCAGAGGGCTGGGATGTTCTCTGCAGTTGGCTGTCTGAGAGCCGCTACTGTTGTCTACTGGCTGGTGTGCTTCCCTGCCCCTGGCTTCATTCAACATTGCATGTCATCTGGTGTACTTGAGGGATGCTTGCCAGAAGGGATGCTCCACTTCTGCTTGCGTGCTTCTGCTGATTTTCTTTAACTGGAGCTAGTAGCTGTGTCCTTACCTGATGGAAGACTGACTCTTGGTAAAAGAAGTCTCATCAGCATATTGAATTGTGCAGCCATAGAGCTAGTCTGCTATTACTGCCCTGATCTGCAGCAGAACCAGTAGTCATAAAAACTTGAGTGGAAATGGGGGAGCAAGGAAAAGTATAGAAGTGGCAGTGGCAAATCTTAATGTTTAGTATACCTTTTAATTCATTCTTTTACCTTCCAGCATCCTTTGATTACTTATGTGGCTACTGAAAGGAAGTTGTGACTCTGAGGAAGGAGGAGGTTGAGAAGGGACAGGATATTAGGAACAATGAAAGCTTTGGTAATGGGTGTGTGTTCGCCGCGTATAGTACTATTCTCAGCTTCAGACCCTCTTTTTATTAGGCCTATTCCTGGCTTTTGCTCATTTAGTCAACAGAAACATAAGCCATCAAGAGACTGAGTTGTAGGATGTTTGCAGGGAGAAGGGTATGAACCAGGCATTCAGACTACTTGCTGTGGTTGTATTAGTGCTTTAGCCAGCATAATGAGCTTCAGCTCTGACATACGGATGGGAGAGTAGTTGGACATGATAGCCTCAGGGTTTTCTCCCTGTATTCCATGCTTAGTTTTCTGCCTGCCATGCAGACGACTCCTGTTCACAGAGTCTCTGTGGGTCAGGATAAGAAGAGAAGTTTAGAAGTCTTGTGAATGGATTGCATTTTGCAATGACTTGATGTGAAGTACAGTCTTTTTCTGGGTGAATCCAGGAAAACATTTCAGTAGGCAAGCAGATTCAAATCCTACTTTGTATATTTTTGCTTTAGGATTGATGGAAATCAACACGGACAGTGCTGAAGGGAGGATGTCCCTCACTCTGCCCGGTGGAGGACCATCCTCTCTTCCCTTGTTTCAGTTCCAGTGCTCACCTGGTTGTATGGCCAATCAACTTGCAAACCTAGCAAGAGACAAGGAACTTTTTGCTATTGATGCCTTTTTTTCCATTTTGATTAGTTGAATTGTCTTGCTCTGAAGACAGATGTGTGGTAGGACTTGTTTAAAGTAAGTGGTAGGAGTGTGCAATTTGGATTGTTGTTGGAAGAGAGAAAAGGAAGGGGTACAGTGCAAAGCTGTTCAGTCAACTTAAGCTGTAGCACAAGATCACACCCTTAGTCTCGTCAAAGTGAGTTATGTCACATTAGTCTGTTGTGTAATAACATCACAAATAGTTTCTGTTTTTCTCTGTGAAATGATCACAATATTAAGAAAAAAATCAAATTTTTTGACAGCATCACAGAAACTAATTTTTTTCATGTGAATATTATATAATGGTTGGGAAATAGGAACAGCGAGTTTCCTCTAGTACTTCTGATATGGAGGGACTTGTACTATTCAACTTTAGGAAAGCAACCTAGTTAACCAAGTTAGGAGTTTACACTCCTTTTCAGTACCAATGAAGGTTAAAGGCTTCTAAATAGTACTACAACGCTCTGTTAACTGGAGTGTTAACCTCAAATTAGAAAGTACAAGTATATCATAAGACATTAAAATCCTAGTTCTGTCATAGAGCCATTTCTTTCCCTTCCCACTCCTGGGAGTTATATTTGATATAGTCAGTATTTGGTTTTTAGAATTTCTGGCTTGCAGGTTGTTTTGTTTGTAGAGTTGTAAAATATTTTGTGTTTGTGATGACCATAACACAGTTAGCCCTGTGAAAGCAAACTGTAACTGTCTTCTGCAATATCTGTAAAGCAGTTTAGGAACCTTTAATGGAAGGCACGAGTGTAACTGTGAAAGAAGGAATAAATCACACTAAAGGATTTGAGAATGTGATAGCCTGTTTATAAAAAAATAAAGGAAACTGTTGCCAAAGTTAGACAGCTTGTTTAGTTAATGAAGCAGTCTTTTTTTAACCTGGTATAATCAGTGTAAAACAAATGTTTGTGGTTATGCTGGGATGGGAACCAAATTTTATTAAAAATAAAAGGTCAAATAGATATTGCACTGGTTTTCTTCTTTTAACAAAAATACTTAAGAACCAAAATTTCTCTGTAATGATTCTGTGGCACTCTGTGTGTGTGTGTGTATATGTATCACACAGAGCACATGTGCAATATGTGTGTATATATACATTATCTGTATATATATAATTGTATTTATTTATTTTTAACTTTTAGATTAGTCCATTACCATGTCACTCTGCAAATCCCTACTCATGTAAAAGATTTTGTGGGCGGCTTCTTGATTGTCAGAATCACACCTGTATGAAAGAATGTCATCACGTTACTAAATTGGACAGTAATGCAGATGAAAAGAAGGTATGTTGATTTCCTTTTTGCTTTTATTTTTGTGTAGTTTATACATTGTCTTCATTTTTAACTGGAAAATGATTTGCAGCTGGAAGGCAGAGGATCTATTCCACATTCCACTGGGAGACTTGCATGTGTCTGTTCCCATTGATCCTGTGACATTTAATCCATACTTCTTTAGACTGTAAAACTGAGACAATATTATATGTTTTGCAAATGCTACACTTCTTTGTTTTATTTTGACATACATTACTTTGTTTTCATCAAAAACCTTATTTAACGCTTAACAAGGCTCTTCTAAAGTCAGTTTTTGTAACTGTCAGGATCAAGTGAGCTACTGATAATCCCTATATACAAATGCACTTGCAATCTACTGAGGAAACTATTTGCTGAGGAGAGCTGTAAATGGGTTGAGGAGGCTAGCAAATGTTTAACAGAGAGCACTGGAAATGTTGCAGAATAGGTGAAGACTTCTTAAAGCACTGGGGTGATATATTCACATTTATCAGTGTCTACTAGAAACTGTCATTTGTGATTTAAGAAACTGTAGGTCTTAGTTGCTGAAGATAATATGAAACAAAAATAAAACTAACTACAAAGCTGAAAATTGTTCTAGTTCTGAGCAGCCAAAAGCATATAACTTGTGGTTTGAGAGTCATGATTTGGAGGAAAACAGCTTTTTAAATTTTTAAAACACTGGTTTAGAAAAAGTTGCAACATCATCTCTGGGCATTTAGGAAACTGAGCAAGCATTCAGTTGGGTACAAAACATAAAGGTTATATTTTATTTTTATTTTAAATTATTTTAATTTTATTTTAATTATTTTATTTTATTAAATTTATTTGAATTTTAATTTAATTTTAACTTACTGTTATATTTTAACTTAAATAGGATGATTTCCCTGTGGATTCCAATCCTAGAAGTTGTGTTGTCATCTAATAACTGCATATATTGCAGTTACTGTATTATTCTATTAATGATTGTCTACCTTTTGTCTGAGGAGTCTGAGTTCTTAGTGCAACTTGTGGAACAGTAATCTGCAGCAATAAGGTGATATCAGTAAACACTGAGTGACAGTTATTTAAACATCTCCAGTTATAAGAGGCTGTCTGCCTACTCCTTCAGTTAAATCAATTAAAGTGAATGGATCAGGATTATTCCTCACTCCATTTTGAATGAGACAATACATTCTCAGAAAATGAGAGTCTATGTACATGTGACGTATGGATAAATCTCATGTCTCAATTTCCTTTGATTTTTATTTTTTTTTTTATAAACTCAAGTTGGTTTTGACCTTTAGAGCTTTTGTTCTGTTGTTTTGATAGACTAAATTGCAGGTGTAGTCAGAAAAGGGCTGATTAAATTTCTTGCTTATATGTCTGAGTAGTGATTTTTCTGTCTGGAATTTAGGTTTGTTCTGCATGTTGTGTTAGAAAATGTTGCAGAAAGGCCAGCTGTTTGCTTTTACCTACTATTAAATTTTATATCACAGTTTTCTAAATGCTTTTAGCTGCTATTGTTTTTTAGTTGTGAATTTGGGGGGCTAGGTTTTGTAAACAATCATTGTCCTTTTGAAACTTCAGTAAAAACTGTTCAACTGTAGAAGCAGAATCACTAAGGTTGGAAAGGACCTTCAAGATCATCAAGTCCAACCATAAATCCAGCGCCACCATGTTCCCTAAACCTTGTCCTGAAGCGCCACATCCACACCTTTTTTGAACACTGCCAGAGATGGCGACTCCACCACCTCCCTGGGCAGCCTGTTCCAATGCCTGACCACCCTCTCAGTGAAGAAATTTTTCCTAATATCCAATCTAAACCTCCCCTGGCGCAACTTGAGGCCATTTCCTCTCATCCTATCGCTGGTTACTTGGGAGAAGAGACCAGCGCCCTCGTCGCCAGAACCCCCTTTCAGGTAGTTGTAGAGAGCGATAAGGTCTCCCCTCAGCCTCCTCTTCTCCAGACTGAACAACCCCAGTTCCCTCAGCCGCTCCTCATAAGACTTGTGCTCCAGACCCCTCACCAGCTTCCTTGCCCTTCTCTGGACACGCTCCAGCACCTCAACATCCTTCTTGTAGTGAGGGACCCAAAACTGAACACAGGATTCGAGGTGCGGCGTCACCAGTGCCGAGTACAGGGGCACGATCACTTCCCTACTCCTGCTGGCCACACTATTCCTGATACAGGCCAGGACGCTGTTGGCCTTCTTGGCCACCTGGGCACACTGCCGGCTCATGTTCAGCCGGCTGTCAACCAGCACCTCCAGGTCCCTTTTCGCTGGGCAGCTCTCCAGCCAGCTTCTCCCTCCCAGAAGAAAAGGGGAGTGGAAGAAAATGGGGGGAAACTGTATTAAAAACTTAAATTCTTATGCCCTTATTTTGACTAGCATAAAGTGGAATGTTGGCATGGAATTAGTCCTTTTGGGGAAGCATTGTGTTGCTTTGTTCTTGGATAAATTTGCTTTACTTTGACTGACTTCTGTGAAGTTGATTAGATCACCTGGAATGAGAATGACACCACAGCTCTTGTAGACTTTATGTAGTATATGGAGCAAAAGCCACACCTTAGAGCTGCCAGCACATACCTAAGCTAATACTTTTTGGAAGATTATACAAACTATTGTATATGTATGAAAATGGAATGACTTAAAGTTTGCTTCTTAAAATAAAGCAAACAAGCCTTCCCACCCCTGTATTACAGAGCAGTATGTCATGGCTAAAGCGTTACAATAACATCGTAGGTGGGAAAAATTAGTTCTGAATATGAAATTATTTCTTTTTCTAACATTTTCCCTAGAGAATTAACAAGCTTAATGGCAATTTTCCAAAGCACTAATATTAAGAGGTCCTTTTATGCCCAGGAAGCAAAATAGAACTCTGTCTTTCTGACCAACAAACACTGGCATTTTTGCTTTCCTTTTAAAAGCATATTTTAATAATTATTTTTGCTTGAGGGGATATCTTACTGAATAGCTGGATTCCCTGAGCAAAAACACCCCAACTCTTTCTTCTATATAAAAGCTTGTTAAATGGCATCTAATGAACAAATGTTTGGCAATTTTTTCAGTACTTTGTTTTTATTTTGTTAGGCAGGTCCAGAATGTTCGCAGTGTGAAGAGGAGTGTACCAAGCCCCGGCCATCTGGCTGTCCTCACCGATGCGTTTTGCCCTGTCATCCTGGGGATTGCCCATCATGTCTCCAGATGCTTAAAATAAAGTGTCACTGCAAATTATCAATACTGTATATTGAATGCTTGTAAGTGTCAGAACCGAACCCAACTTTTCATTTGAATGCTACTAACTGGAAGCCATGTGAAATGTCTGAGGATGGGAGCTACTCTTATGCGAAGCTATAACAATTCTTTTGAAGGTTATAATTTGTAATATAATGCTTTTTTTTTTTTTCTATTTAAGATTTGCCAGTGTTTTATTTGCTGTTACTGCTAAAATTACTATAAATGCATGGAGTCTTGTGAGCAGAACTGGTTTTTATAATGGTTTTATAATACAGTAATATTTTGAATTCTGCAAATACATAGTAATCCACATAATGTTTGATCTATATGTGGTTCTTTTACAGTATGTAAAGAAGAATTTTATGAAAACAACTAGAATTAATGTAGTTAGTGTAAAAGGTTTTTACAACTAATGTCCTTCAAACTCTAGCTGTTTTAATTGGAAAACTTCTTAGTAATAATTTGTACTTCTTAATCAATTGTATCTGTGTAGATAGAGACTAAGCTAGCTAGGCTTTACTAAATAGAAGATGGAACTTGTGGATTTAAGCACTATACCATGTGTATTCCTCTGAAAACATTAATCCCATGCATGTATGCTCTTTGTGCATTTTCTGTAAAGTACCTCAAATCTTCTAAATTTATGTGGTTTTGTCTGTAAAATAGTGTAGTTTATATTAGTCCCACAGGATGTGGACAAATGAGGCCACTTTTCTTTACAGTGAGATATACTTGAAATATACACCTAATTGTATTGACTTTTGTTGGTTTTAATTTGGAGTTTATCACAAATACATCTTTTCTTTTACAGGAAGCTAACATGTGCTGACTTAAAAGAAAAGGAGCTTCTTATTTCTTGCAAAAATCAGTGTCCAAAAGAGGTAAGCCATATTAACAAAGAAATGCTTGATTTGATGGATGTGTGGAGTTGTTTGGATTTTACTTTTTTGTAAGGTTTTTGATACAACTTCATAGGCCAACCAGACTAGAGAAGCTTAGTCTAAATGAATATGCTAATTGCTAGATGCAAAGGTGGTTAGTGAACTGTACTCAAAGGACAGTTACTAATGTCTTGCTGTCAAATTGGAAGGTCATTTTGAAGGATCAGAGATTCGTCTCCAAGGCATTAATGGCTTGAATGTCTAAGCACACAGATGAGATTGAATGTAAGAGGATGTCCTCTAACATGGTTAAAAACTTGTCTTGAATTTATATCTCCAAATAATGGGATGCTGTTTGATTAGGAAAAATACTGGTAATTGTACTTGCGATTGTTCTCGTCTAACTGCAGATCTAGTAATCCCTGTCTGTGCAACAATGGGGGGCAGGCAAAAAAAGGGTTTTATACTTAACAAGTGATGTGAGTTAATGATGCCCTGCTGTGTTAGTGAAATATATGTTAAGTAGAGTGCAATAGAAGTCAAACCAGTTAATCTTTCTATTGTATTTGGATATCTATTTAAAGGGTTGCTGTAAAGAAGAGAAGAATAATATCCTTATTGCATGATGCTTAGACTATGAATGAACCAGTGTATATAGGCATCAGTGAGAAACATCAATGCTAAATACTACTTTTGAGTAGTAAAGCTTGTGGAGCAGGGGAAGAACTGGTTGAAGAAGCTACCAAATTTTCATCAGTAACAGTTTAGACAAGTGTCAGTTGTGGATAAATACTGCTGCAAGACATGAGGGATGGGCCAAATGACTTCTTCCTTGTTCCTCCTAGTGCTGTTGTTATGTGCTGCTTGTGTGCTTTCAGAAATCCATGCATTACTTATTACTGTATGTTTGTTCTTTAGTTGTCATTAGTTGTGGTGAGAGTGACAGCCCTTTCTTCACTCTGTTCCCCACTGTAGGGTTAGAAAATTTATGAAGTGGAAAAACAGGAATAGTCAGGAATATTTCTGAAAGTGTTTCCAATGCTAAACTCTCCAAAATTTCTGAGAAAATCTCCTTCCCTGCAAGAAAAATGCTTGTACTGAGAAAATATTTTATTCCATAATCACTTATTATTTTGTTGTTCGTGTTTGGCTTTTTACTGTATATCTGATTCTCTTTGATCATGCAATATTTAGCTGGCACTCATAAACTGATTCAACCCATTCTCTTTCCCTGATTCCACTCAGTTCCCTTATGCTGGTTTACCTATGATGTCCTCTAGTGTGAGATTTCTGTCTTCTTACCCCATCTCTTGCAGTTTTGAATTCTGTCTCACCTAATAAAAGTAGGTTCAAAACTTTTCTTTTGTTTCATTATTTTCCAGTGTCAGAAGCATCAAATTTGAATCCTTGCCTTTATTAGAAAACTTTTTTTGGTTTTGTGTAAATGCAAAAAAACACCGGATTCCTGCTTGTTTTTCAACAATCTCTGTTCCTCTGCTTTTCAGACAAGATTGTGTTAACCCCAACAGAGAGGTTGTGCTCTGTACTGGGTGCCTACTTGTATCTTCTGCTTTTTGCCCTTGTAGATGCCTTTCTGATGTCTTTTTGCTGTAAATGAATGTGCCTGTCACAATTTTCTCATTTGGTTGTCTGAAAGCTCTCTTCCTGGCGGGGGAACACTTTTACATATTATTTCATTGTCCGTTTACCTCTTAATATTGTCCTTTCATTTCCCCTCTCTGTTACTTTAGTTTTATTTGCTCCAAGACTTCCTCCTCTTTATTTTCAAGAGTGCTTATAATCTCTTAACATGAACAATGTGTTCCTGTACTTCAGCTTCTCTTCAAAGATTTTTTTTTCAATACCTCATCTTTGACTTTGATTAATGTAACTCTTGTGATTTTTCTGGACATATTCCCAAGATTCAGTCTGGGATTTAAAAATCCATTTAGTAGTGGTACTGAATTCTAGCTTGCAGTTCAGAATTTCCCTGTTCCACAGTGATGTCTTTTTTTACTTAATTCAGTGACATGTGAAAGAAAGCTTAGGGCAAGAGAGTCCACTTCCGTTTTATAAAGCTTTTATTTAACTCTGAAATTCTCATTCCCATAGATGCCTTGAAAAATAAGGTTTTATGCAGCTTCTGCTATCCAGAGAATCTTTTTAGTGTAATTGATGGTGTAAAAATGCATGCTCTTCCCTTCCTGTGATTCTAGCTCTAGCTCTTACTGGCTTTCATGAAACATAAAAATGTTAGTCCAGTCCTGCTTCAGGTAGTTCATATCTTTGTGTTATGGTTCATCCTACTTTCCTGACATCCTGTTTTGGCAACTTGTGCTATATGGGTTTTAACCATTTTTTTGTCTAAAGAATTTGTTCTCATTTCTCTGAATATTGAGCAGGGCTAGGAATATTTTGTCTGTTTATAATATGACTATTTTTCTGTAACTTTGGGAAATTAGCTAGCTGTATCATAATGCAAATTGTACTGAAAGTTCTCTTTTAAAGGAATCATTGACAAACACCATTTGAAGGAGCAGCCTTAACAGACATCACCCTGCCACCACCACCCCTCCACAGCAAATATAAATCAAGCCCATTGAGGGGACCTCATGACAAGAACTTACAAACAACTTAGCCAAAAGATGATGGATAAGACTACTGAATTTAAAGTTTACAAATCAAAGATGTCTGCTCAAAAGCAAATTGGAAATGTTTTGTGTGTAGTCCTGACAGCCTCAAGTAAATTTCAAATTAGTGTTTTATGAGAATTTTCTTATTTGATGTCAGAAGCTGACCTTAGGTCACTAGCAGAGCTCAGTGCTGTTTGCTAAAAATCAGTGTGCACGGTAACTCTACCAAGCTTAGCATAGTGCAACTGAGGTTCAGTAGAATACATTATTTTACTGAAGTCTCAGTTTTGAGATATATATTTTTTTTTTGGTTAATGGAAATTGTGGCAGACACTATACTGCCATATTTGAATTACAGGTAGCATGGTACATTTGGGGATTATGAAAATCAATTATATTGTCTGATGCCTTGCAAAAATACAACAGGAACTTGAAAGTCTTGAAAGATTTCATGCTTTTGGTTTGGCTATGGCAGTATAAAAGTATTAAAAAAAAAATTACTTGTAGTATTATACAGTACAGCTTACATTTCCTTGCTGCTTTAGGGAGAAGCAAAGTCTTTGATATTGCCATAGCTGTGAGATAAGAAGCTTTAATTAAAAAGTTCTTTCTCTTGTTTAGTAGCAACAACAAAATATCCTGTTGAAGGAAATTTAACTTTTTTTTTAATCAGAGGTGATTAAATTCTTATGATCATGTTTGCAGATTTTTTGGGACAATTCTTACATAGGAGTTTTAACAGTCTATCAGTTTTCTTCATTTATGTATTCATATTAGTATTTGTGGATCTGTTTTTAACACTTTATTTTGTGTTATGAGTATTTTTTGACAAAATAACCATACTTTGTACTTTTACAGTGCACTCTGCTACTGTCTTGATGTGAAACATGGGACCCCATTCTGATAAATCTTTAAAACATTATAGTGCAGTAGAGACAATGTCATAAATTTTAAGAGCATGTGTATCTTTTTTAATAAATGAAATAATTTCTATTTCCAGAATGCTTAATTAAATTCTGTAAACACACCTCCTTGTGCTGGCCTGATAGCGAGAAGGCTGGGGGTGCACAGGAAGCTGGACTGTCCTTGACTACTTAGCAACAACCCAAAACATCAGCACGTTATCAACAGTTTCTCATCCCAAATCCAAAACATAGTCTCACACTAGCTTCTGTGAAGAAAACCAGCTCTATCCTGGCTGAAACCAGGACAATGTGCATTGCAAAATTTTAATTTTAAAAGGGAAATGCACAGCTTTGGTCCATAACGAGAGGATTTTCCTCAATGTCCAGCTTAAGCAGTGGAGGTTTTCATGAGATCTATGGAAGCAGGGCCACCCTTTAAACTGAAGAGTCTACCCCCTTTGTTTGGAAGTGATAAACTTATCTTTTGTATTTAGCTTTTGGGATTGCTGCTCAAAAATGCTGTTTCCTTTATTAACAGGTTATTTTCTTCATCATCAGATGTGTATTAACAAGTTGCATTTGTTACTTTCTGGTGGAGGTCAGTTAAGCCTCCATAAATGTTGATGGGTTTTCTCATGATCAGGCATAATCTTAAGATTTAAATGCATTGCCTATGGAGAAAATACTTGTAGGATTTTTTTTTTGTTTGTTTCATTTTCAGAGCTGTGGATGAAATCCTTTTCTTTTAAAGGCCTTGCCATGTCAAACATAAAGACTGTTCATTTTGGCCTTTAGTCCACGAGCTATTGACAAGAGATCTTATATGGTGAAAAAGATCTAAAGGGGCATATGCTTTCTATTTTAGTGCCAAGCAGCTCAGCATGGATGCTTAAAAACAAGCAAAAAAAAAAAATCCTTTTCCACTATATTATTTATCCAGCAGAAGCAGTGGTAGGATTGCTTTTGTTTTCTAAGATCATGGGTAAATGTTGTTTTGCTACTCATTTTACGGCTCTTCTTGATTTTTTTTTTTTTTTAATGTTGGTTTTGCATTGGAGGGAGTAAAAAGAAAGTTACGCTGCCAGCTTCATTCTTCTCCTGCATCCCTGTGGGTGTGAACTGTGTAGCTCTATGCAGAGAAACAAAATGTGTAAATTTGGGTTTCAGTATTGGATTAAACATATTTCTGTGCATGCAAATTTTGCTTTAATGGCATGTAATATAAGAATTTTATTGCAGTAGCACCTGGAGGTTAAGGTGAGGGCTACTGTTTTGAATTTGCAGCTCTGACATGTCAGTTACAAGACTGTTTGTTTGGGCTTTGACAGTATTAATGGAAATGTGCCTGGTTAGTGTGGAAGAGTAAGCTGGAAGAAATAGTTCTAGCCATGAATTGTTCTGGCCAGCATGGGATGACTTGCAGGTGAGACTAGACCGTGTTATTGTGTATGATGCTCTTGGGCAGGGAGCCAGAAGAGCCCTCTTACTGCACAGAGGTCATGCAGTAGCGAATTGGTTTTGCAAAGATTGTGGTCACTAGTGAGCAGACTCAGCTGTTAGACTCTGTGGTCCTGGCTGGTAGTCTGACCTCAGTGGTGTACAAAGCTTAAAGACAACTCTCCTCCCTCATCTTTTCAAAATGAGGCAAAATGCAAGATAGATTTGCTGATGATCAGTTGTGCCTGAACAAACCTAAATTCCTTCTTTGAGAAGATGACCAACTTTTTTTTTTGCTTCCAGATAAAGCAAATAGATTAGATCTGCTACATAAGGCTTCAGCAGAACAATTGAGCCAATGTCACATAGTGAGCACCTAGCTCAGATACAGAAGAGGGTTAACACAAGGCTGAAGGTAGCCTAAAGGAAACAACTACTTGTATTTTATTATTTAAAAAAAAAAAACACCACTCCCCCAAAAAAGCAAAGCAACAACAACAAAACTAGAAAAAAAGTTGGAGCAAGAGATGTTAACAAATGAGGGAATTTTCCCAAGGACTAGGTTCACACCTGACCTTGCATCATTTTCAGTAATGACCTTGGCACCAAAACACATTGGAATTTTCTGATGAAAATTTGTGGAGTGTTGTCAGTACATCCAAACTGGGAGATGCATCTGCAGAACACATGTGTTTGGGGCATGTTATTAGATACAGAAAAAACAGTAAGACCATACATGTCAAGGGTAGTAATAAGCTCTCAGGAAACAGCAAAAATTCTTATGGTTAGCTGGAAAGAAATGCAAATGAGAGATGAAGATGTATTGGGGAAGATATTCTATTAAGAATAAGGTGCATTCCTGCTGAGATGTCATTTGGAATATTACATGCAGTTCTGGCTACTGTATTCAGGAAACATTGATTTAAGCTGGTTGAAATTCAATGAAGGGAATACTATGGGAATAAAGAGCCTTTTATGAAAGGACAGTAGAGAAATATTTCAATTTGAGGATAAGAACTGAGAGATTTAGACTGGCTAGAACAAATGTAGGAAACTCAAAAAAAACTTACATCTTGTAGTGAGCTCCTGGAACAGCCTCCTTAGTGAAACAGCAGAAAGGGGGCAGAATGGGGGACTGTTTTCATGGTAAGACATCTTACAGTCCTAGAGGGATCATAGGAGGTGCCTGCCTTTGGGTGGACTGGACTTTAGAACTAAATATGATGACTTAGAGGTTCCTTCTAGTCCTGTGTGAAATGTGCTGAAACGGTGACTGAAAAAAACAAGCCTAAACTACAAAGCATCCATCACTGTAATAATAGTTTGTGCCTGGCATGGACATGAAAATATGTATGTCTGTTCCATAATTTTTGTTCAGGAAGTTTTGCATTCTCTTCAGGTATGTGTTTCATGATACTAGCTCCAATGGACTTCTGAGAATCCAAATTTACTCATCAACAAGAATACACCTGGGTTTTGTAATTATCTTATATAGTATTCTCATTCATGCGGATGAAGTGATGTAGTATGTATACATTTTCAATTTTTAATTAATGTGAAAACATGTATCTTAAAATTGTATGTCTTACAGCACTTTCCAAGTTGTGTGTTTTGCTCTTTATAGTTGCCCTGTGGTCACCGGTGTAAAGAGATTTGCCATTCAGGTAGCTGTCCTCTGAACTGCAGCCAGAAGGTTAAACTCCGATGTCTCTGTAAGAGACTGAAAAAGGTAAATTTCTAAGTTACAATGTTGAGAACAATGTATTTTTTTTGCATGTTCCTAGGCTTGTATGGATGGATTGTGTCTGGTGCAGATTAGAATAGGTCCAGTTACTCTACTTGAGCTATAACAATTCACATCAGCTGAAAATGTGGGCTGCAATATCAAAAAATTCACTGGAGAAGATAAAGTCCTGTTAGTTTTAAAATATGTTAGCTGCCTGACTTACAGTAGGTTTATCTTCAAGCACACTTGAATTTTTGTAGCTCCACTGGGAGAATAGTCAGATGACCTGCAGTGATTTGAGAAGAAAAAATAGATTCTTCTGACAGTATTTGGAAACTTTATAATTACATAAGTGTCGTCGTTTAGCCCCAGACGACAACTAAGCCCCACCCAGCCGCTCGCTCACTCCCCTTGGTGGGATGGGAGAGAGTATCAGAAGAGTAAAAGTGAGAAAACTCGTGGGTTGAGATAAGGACAGTTTAATAGGTAAAGCAAAAGCCGTGCATGCAAGCAAAGCAAAACAAGGAATCCATTCACCGCTTCCCATAGGCAGTCAGGTGTTCAGCCATCTCTGGAAAGGCAGAGCTCCATCATGCGTAACAGTTACTTGGGAAGACAAATGCCATCACTCCGAATGTGTGTCCCCCCCTTCTTTCTTCTTCCCGCAGCTTTATATGCTGAGCATGATATCATATGGCATGGAATATCCCTTTGGTCAGTTGGGGTCAGCTGTCCCAGCTGTGTCCCCTCCCAGCCTCTTGTGCAACCCCAGCCTCTTCCCTGGCGGGTTGGGGTGAGAAGAAGAAAAGACCGTGACTCTGTGTAAGCACTGCTCAGCAGTAACTAAAACATCCCTGTGTTATCAACACTGTTTTCAGCACAAATCCAAAACAGCCCCATACTAGCTACTATGTAGAAAACTAACTCCATCCCAGCCAAAACCAGCACAGTAAGTTGGAACAGGCACTGATGGTGTGAATCCCTAACTAATGTAATCAGTTATGGTTCTCCGCAAACCTAAAAGCAAATACAGGCATCAGCATCCTTAGCTCCTAACAAAGATAAAGGACAAAGGAATGTAAAAGGTTTATTATAGCTATATTATGAAGGGAAGAACAGAAATTGATGTGAAGTCTTGGCAAATAATGACTTAATGAAAAAAAAATCATTATCTGCCTTAATTAAAAGGTGCTTAAATTATTTTTCTGGACCCAGTTAACTTCTGAGCCTTCCAAACAGGCGGCAGCTTCCCGGGGTTCTCAGCTTCTTCAAGAAATGTCTTGTGTAACCAGAAGTCTTGCAGGTGGGGTGTTCAGTCCAAGAAAGGATGACGTGTACAGAACAAGTGCTTCAAATTGAACAGTCTCTGCTTACAGATAACCACATTTTTTTTTTTCAATATTAGGTGGAGGGGAGGAAGTGTGAGAGAGAATTTTTTTTTTCCCCATGACCAGACCTTGCCCTGTAGTCTCAGCCAGTTAAGAGAATGTGTACGGAATTACTGAGAGAGTGAATGCTAGCTCTTTCTGCCAGAGTTCAGAAGGTTATCTTACTTTGTCTTAGGCAAACAAGTGAGAAAAGAGAAGAAAGGAGAAATTAAACTGGACTGTTTGATTTATTCTTGCTTTCAGCTTAGTTTAGGAGAAAGAAGGAGAAGAGGAAAGGACAGTTTAATACAGAATTACAGGTTCAAATAATGTTTAATCATTAGCTTTATTTTCTGTGTAACCAATGTTTACTAAATAAGAATAACCAATGTTTACTAAATAAGAATGTTTTATAACACGATGTTTTTATTTTCATAAAGAAATGGACATTATAACTAAAATTTTATATAAGGACATTATTACAAAAGACTCAAATTATACTTAACAGGAAATACAGTGCAGCAAGATACAAGAAGGCCAAGTTTCACTGGAGTGTGATGCATTATGCAAGGAAATGAAGCGGAAAGCATCTGAGGTAATGTATCTGTTGTAGCTGTAACTTCTTCTCAGTGTTTCAAGAAAAGTAGGAAAAAATGAACACAGAATTATTTTTCAAGGCAATACCAGCAAAGAATACAACCTAAGTAGATGTGCTGTTTAATAGCAGCTGCTTTTTCAGACTTGCGTTTGGCTTAGTGGAGAGAATTACAGTGTTTGTAGACAGTGTTAATTAACTCACTGAAATACTATGTTAAAACAATATTGTGTTAGTTTTCTTCCCCTCCACCAATTTTTTAGAACTAGTTCTTGCCTCTTCTGCTGAGAACAAGTGATGATCAGTGACGATAAAATTGTCATTGCTGATGATTAGTGCTGCAGGATTAGAGCCAGGCCACTTCACAGGGCATTGCTAGATCTGCACTTTCCTCTGAAAGTTTTGCAGCTGTTGAATGTTCAACTTGTCCAGCATGAAGAGTGTAATCTTGTCACACTGGATTAATTACCCTGTACCAGAAGAATGGAGAGTTTTCAACAATTACAGTATACTTTTTAGCCTACTGTAAACATGAACTTCTCCCTAGTTCATCTGTTTTATGAAGTAAAGAAATTGCTGCATGCTGTTACCTGGAGAGACAGAATATCAACTTTGCTCTTATAAGCCTTTTATAAAAACATACACAAAAGGAATTGGTGCATAACTTGCTTGGTTTTTATCAGATAAGTGTTAAATGTAATAAATGTACCACACAAAAACTCAGTGGGTAAAGCTGATTTTTGTCAGTTTCTACTCAGATTTTCAAGATTGATTGTCAAGTTCTAACAAGTACTACATAGACCAAATCCTGCAAGTTTACAAACAGGTCAAATGCTAAGACTTTTGGTATATGCCTTTAGAAAATCCCAACCGTAGCAAACAGTTCCAGTAAGAGTGTCAAGATAAGTTCATAGGACACGGAGTGCGCTAAAGCAAGGTGAATTCACAAGAGACTGCCATGAGCTGGGATACAAAGCATGTCTCAGTGCGGTGCAGTGCAGTGTCAGCTGCTGTTTTACCTTGGCAGATACTAGTTCCTGTTTCTTGCCCTTGACATTGTAACCCACGGGGAGGAATGGTCTAATGCAATGAGTAAAGGACTATCTTCTACTATCAGCAATGCCACAGACGTACTGTGTGGCATAACCTAGCTTTGTGTACTTTCCTCACAGAAGACCATGGACTTACTTGTTTTGGGGTTTTTTTTATATGAAGTTATGAAGTTCTATTTAAATCCTTACTGGGCACTTTCTTGCAGGCTGTGTTGTGTTGACTTGTAAATGACATACTAGAATGATCTCCTATTATATGCACTTGACAAAAGTGGTTTATTATGTCAATTACTGTTTAATGTGTCAAGACTGGAAAAAGTCTGTTAAAAACTGCAGACATTTACAGAGATAATTTAGTTTGCATAGTGGCAAAACAACCATCAGTTTCCAAAAAAAAGTGTGTTAACTCTTCATAAAACTCTTAATGTATAGCACCTAGTGAGTATGCACTTCTGAGGAACTGAATGCATCTTTTACTGTACATTTTATTAAAGAAATAATTTCTAGGAATGTTTTTCCATACTGTGACTATAATGGTTAAGCTTATATATATATATATATATTTACACACATACCTATGTATATTATACCTATGTATCTTATACAAACATGACTACACCACTGTAAAAAGAAGCTCTTCTGTCGCTTTTTTCCACATTTTGGGGTCACTTTTTCTTTCGGAGATGAAGTTCTGCCGTTAGATGGCAGTGAAATACCAGGAGGCTAGTTGTGCACTTTTTTCCACGCCAGACTGCAATTTCAGACGTGCATGGCTGAAAGAGTTTTATATATTTTTCTAAAGAGAGACTCTGCTATTGTGTCTAGATTAATGAAATTCTCAATAATGGTTTTATTTGATATATGGTTTAGCAATTTAAAATATTGTCTGAAAACCTGCAGATAGGACTGTTCTGTTGACCTTGGCCTCAGTCCACTCTTGGAGCTACAGTGTGCTAAAGCATGGGCTGGTGTGCTTTCTCCTTAGTCGTGAAGAGCTCTTGAATGGCCAGTTGTTTAGAACAAATTCCACCTGCACAAACCATATTTAGTAAATTATTGTCACAGTTAGTATGCAAATCATCCAGTTATTAGGGACAAGACTGTTTTTCATGTCAAGTTGTTAAACAGATTTTTACATCTAACTTTTCTAAGGTAGTGATTCAGTGGACGCAATGCTAAAGGTCCAAGAAATGTATACAAGAATGCAGACACACGTACTTCCCCAGTATACTCTTTCTGTTACTACTATTACTGTAGTGATCCCTGACTAAGGGAATTTTAGAGATTGAGCTGATGTCTTTCTATTTAATGGCCTTTGTTGGATTTATCTCCTGTTAGTGTGCCTAATTGTTTTTCAGTCAATGTAAACTCTTGGCATCTATAAACATCCTGTAGCACTGAATTTTAGACTTAGCCAAATACTATGTGGGAGTAGAATACTTCCCTCTGTTATGAACCAGCCTCCTGGTAATTTCATTTGCAAGCCTTTGCTTTTGTATTATGAAAAATATTTGGCATCTTCACACTCTTCAGGATTTTGTGCCCTGTTAGTCACCTGATGAATCCCAGTTATGCATCTCTTTAGATGGAAGCCACTCCATCCTGTTGTCTGTTGTACAAGTTCAGGCTTTACATTCTTTTGTTATTGCAGGACCAAAACTGAATGCAGGAGCTAAGGTTCAAGTACATCATGTGTTTACATATTGACATTTTTTCTGTACCGTTCTTTTCTTAATTTCTAGCATTCAATTTGCTTTCTAGAACTCTACGAAACACTTCTATAGGATTATCAAATGTAACTCCCATGACTTCTTTTCATATGACTTTCTGATGGTGGAGCATTTGTAGCTACATTTGGTTTGCATTACACAAAGAGCTTTAAAGCAGTTTGGTTATGCATTATCCAATATATGTCGTATTCAGTACAAATATAGAGGTTTCCTTTTGCTCTAGTAGTCAGGGAATATTTAAAGTATTTGGAATGAAATATGTGTGTGTAAATTATATACATATATTGGAATTATCTGTGTGTGTAAAGGGTACTGAATTGAGGATAAAGTTGCTGAAAACTTACAGTAACTGTCTTTAGGAATACTCCTGGTTGTAAGTGAACAAACTATTCTTTTTAGATTTTTATATTTGTCAGTTGAGCTTATCAAGGTGAAGTCAGGAGTTCAATTTATAACCTTGTAGCATCCATTATATATTCCATGTTTTCCAGATGTGAGATGATGCAGCTTTGCCTGAGAATATTTTTTTAATCTGAGTAAGTTAAGAGCTCACTTTGTGCTCACTTTTGCTGAGAACCATTCTATAGGAGTAACTATGACTGTAAGAAAATAGGTTTAGCTGCTCTTTACAACAGTTGCTTATCACTTTTGTATATCTGGACAGATAAAAGAGGCAGAAGCCAAAGCTGCTATTGAAGAAGAAAAACGAAGACAACAGGTATCAACCTTTCTTCTTCCTCACCCACTTCCGCCCCCACCGTGTTCTTGTTAGGAAATCATTTAACTTACATGCAACTAAAGATGTATAGTTTGTAATGTGATACGGACAGTCATTCTTGTCAGCTGTTCTCTTACTCTAAGACGTGTGCTGTGAATGATCTACAGTGGTTAAGAGCCCACGTTTGCCCAAACAATTTTCATAATTTTATGCAAAATGATAATTAATCAGTTTAATCTTGCATTACCACGTGTATAGTGTAGTTTATTTTTAAATTACTAAGTACTCTTGATTTAATTGAACACTTTATAATGCATAAATGCCGCAGAATGGCTGAATAGTCTCCATAATGATTTAAATATTGGGTAAAACTTCCCTCTGCCCTTCCATCATGAAAGAATGAGGAAGCCTAAATGTATCTCTGTCCTCCAAGGTCTCAGGGGGTGGAATGAACATGTATTTACTGTAATTGCTTTTGTTGGTGAGCGTATGTTGTCGGCATTGTAATCCAAGAAGCTTCTGTGCCAGCTGCCTGGAGACACTAACACTAATCATATTTCAGGCAATACCCGTAAGCTCAGTTGGCGGTGATGGCTAGGTCAGGTTTGTCATCTAGAGGCTACAGCCTTAATGCGCTCCTTCCAACTGGTTCACGCATGTATGCCTGTGCCTGAGCATTTGACACCAAACCATATTCTAAGTTCAGTGTGTGCTTTCTGACTCACCTTTTACTCAATTATCACAACAGTTATGTATTAGGTTATACTCCTGTTTTCACCTGGATGTCACACTCCGTTTTTATCGCAGCCCACTGGCGCACTCCCTGCTTAAAAGCCCCCATCCTCTTGTACCATTTTCCCAGTCTCATTAGGATAGACAGCTTCTCTGTGCGTCACGACTGCTTGTTATGCATACTTTGATTAATTGCCTAGAGACTTTATTAAAGCATTATGTCTACCAACGAATGCTCTAGCAAGGCCTGCTTTTGTTTTTCAAAGGGGAGCGTGTCTATGCATCGTGCAGGAAAAGCATGCAGTTATGTACCTGTTGTCCAAGGGACCAGGTGTTGTCTTGTGATCATCTTGTAATGTTTGTTGTTATGTTAATGACTCAACTGTCCACAATATTAAGGGAACGTGTGATCATACAACTCATAGACAGTTCATGTCGTTCTTCTGGTTCTCTAAGCTGGCCTTGGAAATGTTAGTTCTGGGACATAGGCCAGGAAGGTGTAGCTTGCATACAGATGTCTGAAACATTTTGTTAGGCAGAGGTAGTCTATAACTCATGGTTATGCTAGCTAAGTACTGAAGCATGCTAAAGGACATGTAAGCATGTTCTTTACATGTGTAAAATTCTAGAGCTAGAAATTCAGAGTTGCTGGTGTTTGTATTGCACCGACTGTGTTTTCATGCATTCCAACAGACATCCCAGTTACTAATGATTTCTGCCTCAAAATCATGTAACTTATAGTCCCTCTAGTGAAGTCTCAGTAATGAGGCTCCTCTGAAACTGTAGCAGGTCCACTCCACCAGCATAGTGTGCAACGTCATTTTTGTCTTGATTCTTCAGCAGTGATAGTTTCTCTCTGCAGTCGCACCACTGTTGCTTTCTACTTGTACATTCACTGAAGTCTCACAGTTACAGTCCAGCAGTACCCTTGTGCAGTATATGGCAACTGCTTCTGTGGACGTGTTGTGTGATGGATGCAGCTTCTGGCATGGAAGACTTCACCGATACATAATCAAGCCTATTAAAAGGTTAATTAAGAGTGGCCAGTTATAGCACAATAGCAAACAGGACAACAGAAAAAAAACAGGACAACACTAATTAAAAGAAAAAGTAGAACAACAGTAACTAATAAATAGGCTGTAGAATTGCACGCAAGTACTAACCTCAACTACTGCAGCCTTTTGTCTAAAATTGATTCCCTTCCAATTTGACCTCATAATCTGCCATCTGGTGATGCAAATTGGAGGACATCACTATCATAGGGTGTTGGGTCACATTAAGAGTATATATTTGTTGAGTATACTCTCTTCTGACAAAAGTTTGCATGTTGTACCACCTTCCTGATCTCTTTAGCCCATTTTTATATAGACAGTCCATCTGTTAGCCACAGCTTCTTGAGACCTGTTTTGAATAATACTTCATTAAATCCTCTATATACAAACTAGTTAGTGCTCTGGTAAGCCTGCACATTTGTATTTTGGTATTTGCTATATTTGGTAGCAGCTTCTGCTAATATCATTTACAGATGGAATCGCTTGTTTCTTAGTAGAAGAGAGATGGCTTGGTTAGGCTTCTCGTCACGGCCCTAGCAGCCAAACATTCCCTCTGCTTCTCATTCAGAGGCACTGTGTGAGGCCAGGGTTTTCACAATTGCTAGAGGTGGGAAAAAAGATCAGTGATTATTTAACAATTCAGATGAAACTCGCTCTCTGTCCCACTCTAGTGTGAAAGATTTGGTTAAATTTTTGAGCTAACTGGTAACAGTCCAGAGTTTCAATACTGAAACTCGAGGTCTCAAACCTTAATTCTAATTTAATGAGTTGTGTGAAGGAGTTTGTTCCTTTTTTTCCTAGAAAGAAAAATGTTTTAACAGCTCCCTAGAAGTTACAAAAGTCAAGCACCCCCACCCTGTAAAATACAAGACCTGCAATTTGAGGATATATGCTTTGTGTCTCTATAGTTACTGTTATTTACATTCATGTAGCTACGTTTTCCCATGGGGCTGCTACTCCTTCCAGTGCAGGAAGAATATAGAGAATAACATGAAGGAGCAAAATGCAGTTCCTGAGCAACACTAAACTAGACAGTATCTGAAATCAATTGTTTTCAGTATACAGTTTAAATAAATGCATTTAATTTTACTTTTAATATGTCCATACACAAAGAAGTTAGGTTCTTACTCTAAATAAAAAGCTTGAGCTTGCTTAGCTTGAAAATGTCAGGTAGTTTGAAGACTGGGCACAACCATTATTTTATTGTTCAGACATCATTGAGGTGACTCTTTGGGAACGATGACAGTTATATAAAATCTGTAGGTAGCTTTTCAAGGATAGTGATAGCTTCTTTCTCGTATTCTGCACCCACGAACCTTTTTTCATTGTGTTTTGCTTTTTATAATGTATTTATTTTTAGCTGGGTTTTTATAAAGATCACTAGGAAAGCAATTCAGTACCTGTTATGTAATTGTTCAAGCCCTATATTTTAATTCAGATTACTGCCATTCATGAAGCACTCTTGCTTTTAAAACTTACAGATCACAGGTATATAATAACTATAGAAGCCCCAAATTCTATTTAGCGTCTGTTTAAAATTAAATACTGCCACATTATCTCTAAAACCTGAAGAACTCTCCATTTGCCTCCAGATTTTGGATTTTGTCAAACCTGTTTCATTAGAATACTTTGCTTTTCTAAAGGAGGATGAGCTAGTTGAAAGTAACCTTGTTTCACATAGCAGGCTGTGGAAATTTGTCTGAACTTTTCTCCCATATGGTCGGAGAAGTGCCAACAATTTGTGCCTTTATTAGATACAAAGGAATAGGCATCAAGACGGGTCCCTTTCCCCTGCGGACAGTGCTGTCTGGCACAAGGAGGGAAGTAAGATCTGCTTTGTGAAACTCACAAGTATTTGCTGTCAGTAGAGGAAAACCAGACACATCAGGCAATCTTGAGTTCCAGAGGAAAATTGTATTTACTGGGCTACTTCTCTGCCCATTTCCCAAAACTGTCTTATTCTTGTTTCTTTAATGTACCTACCTTATTGTCTTAGTCCCTCTCTTCCTGGCAGCGCTGCTGTAGTAATGTAGATTGATTTCCTCTCATGGCCAGGCTTTGTCTCTGTTCACTCTCCATGTTTCCTCTGCTTCAGCTCAATCTTGTGCCTTTTTGCCCAGCCAGTCCCAGCTAGCTGCACTCTGCTGCTTCTGTCTCTCTTCTCTCTTTCAGTTCATCTAGTCTCTCTGCTCCCTAGCTCCTTGTCCCATGCTTTCTCTAGCTGACAGCTCTACCCAAAAATCCAGATAATCATCGGACCTTTTCTGTTTTTAGTCTGTCTCAGCTCTCCTTTAGAGCAACTTTCCTGATTTTCCTAGCAATTAGATGGCTCCTCATTGGAGTCTCATCCCAGTCTTGCGCTCTTTGTTCCAGGCTGCCTAATCCCAGTTTTATTTCAGTTTTGTACCCTAAAATGAGTTTTGTCTGTATTCTCTTGATACCCGTTTAAAAGAGGATGAGGAATAGGGATCAGAGGATCCTGCTGTTCATTCCAGGCATCACCCTGAAACTGCTGTTCTAGGTCGAAGCTTGGCATTCTTCTCATTTTTCCAGTTGCTTTGCTTCATTTTCAGGCACAAGAAGATGTGCTTTCATTTGAAGGATGCTACTACAGTCCTATATGAGTGACTAAGTGTTAAGTTATAACACTTAACAAATGGAATCTTTTTGTGCATGTCTAAGATTATAGCTATTAATCTAAAATTTAGCTGAGCATGCAAAATATAAAGAATTGGGTGGAAGATGGTAGATTTTTTTAATTTATGTTTTTATTAATTTATTTTTAGCAGAGGGTGCATCCAGCTGGCATATTCAAATTGTGCCAGGGGAGGTTTAGACTAGATATTAGGAAAAATTTCTTTACTGAGAGAGTGGTCAAGCATTGGAACGGGCTGCCCAGGGAAGTGGTGAAGTCACCATCACTGGAGGTGTTAACATAACTTGTGGACGTGGCACTTTGGGACATGGTTTAGTGGGCATGGTGGTGTTGGGTTGACGGTTGGACTTGATGACCTTAGAGGTCTTTTCCAACCTTAATGATTCTGTGATTCTACATTATGAGGGGTGGGTCTTTGAAGATTTCAGCCTATGCTTTTATACACGTTATTGTAATAGCTTAAATACGTACAAGTGCATTTCTTTAATAGGGAAAATAATGTCTTTTTAACATATTTCATGGAAATACCAATCTTATTTTGGCTTAATATATTCAGCCCGAGTTAAAAATCTGATGTAAAACTTCAGTTGATTGCATTTTTGGCAGTGTTTTTTATAGGAAACTAAACAATGGTTTAGTACTTGGAAGCAAAGAGCTTTGTAACCATGGGATATAGTGCTACCATCTCATCTGTAAGATGTATAATTTCCATTGGCTGACAGTTATTTTTATAAAATGTTTTTTTGGAATGTTATTTAAAATCTGCACGTTTCCTCATTTTTAATTCTGACACAAATGTCAACTGCTTCTGGTTTTCTTCATCTAGGCTGAACTGGAAGCTTTTGAAAACAGATTAAAAGGGAGAAGAAAGAATAAGAGAAAAAAGGATGAAGTAGAAGTTGAACGATCATCATGGCAAAAATACAAGAACCTCATTATGCTGCCAATGCTTGGAGTTGCTGTTGTGATGGTTGCGTGGCTCATGGCCTACAATGACTGAAACGACTCAATATCTAATATACCTCAGTCAGGCTTTAGGTAGCTGTTATTCCTAGAATGTTGGTCTGTGTGTAACAGAACTTAATATACATAGATTATGTATGTATACTGTTTGCCAAGAAAACTGCAGAGGAGGGAAGAAATGTCACCTTTTGTGTTATTACAGTCACAGCACAAAACTGAATTCGGACACTGAAAGTAAAAGTAGATTTTAGTCTACATTGAAGTGCTGATGTAGTTCATCTGACAGGTCTGTTAACATCTCTTCTATTAATATATTGTGTTGCTTTTCCTTGACTCCATTTCATAGTATTAAAAATAGCTTAGTATAAAATACTTTATTGAATATTTGTTTCCTGTAAAATCAACTTAGTGCTTTATTGGAGATTAGTATTCTTGTGCTAGTCTTTGTTGTATCACACAAAAATTTCTGTGTGTCACGTCAGTTTTGATTGTAACAACTAATGGGGAACTTCAGATCACTTAGGCTTGAACATTCTGAGGCCTCACGTCAGAACTTTGTTCAGAGAAAGAAAATGTGAACTGTCTTTCAAGTCAGCTGTATCACAAACAATAAAATGGGCCCACTTACACACTGTGGGGTTGGTATTTTGGGTGTTCCCACCCTTGTTTCCTCAAAATCAAACCAATGGCAAACTTCATTTAGTGGACAGATGCATCCGCTGAACACGGATGTGAAGTAGTTTTAGGGTACAGGGATGTGCTGTCATCGCTGCCCCCATCACCAACAGCAGAAAAGCAATTTGAAATTGAACTTAAAGCATCACTTGCCTATTTGCATAGATAAATGTCACATTGGAATATTTGCATAGGTATGCAAAGCCATAATTAAATAGTGTTACAATACAATTATAAGTCGTTCTGAAGCCATCTGAATGGGGTTGCTAATCATGTATAAACTATCTAGTTAATCTTTTAAACATTTTAATATTTTCTTACTGACAGTTTAGAATACCTTGTTTTTGGAGCTATTCAGTTGGTAGAACTGAAAGCTTTACACAGCTTCGAGATTATTAAAGGAGCTACATTGTCTCAGCTGAGGGACTGCAAGTTAAATTTGGGGGCGGGTGAAATCAGAAAACTAGATTTTTAAACTTCTGCTAGAAATTTTATGCTGATACTTGAGCATTGCGGGTAACTGAAAAGGGCTTACAAGATCCTGTGAAAGATGAGGTACAAAGCCAAAGGGCATTAGGCTGCCCTTGTAATTCAGGCATGTAATTTCATCACAAATCCTGCAAAAGCAGTGGGACCATTTGTGCGCATTAGAGAAGACTGTAGTTTGTTTGAAAGCTCTTTTCAGTTGATTTTGGCCCACTTATAAAGGGACCCAGTATTAATTTGAGTTGATATCCAGTTGTAATTATGGTTCAGCAGCAGGTAAAATGTAAAAGCTGCAAAAGGCTTTTAGATTGTGTAGTTTGACCACACGGGGAGAAAATCTCTTTTCAGTTTTTCACCTAAGTTTGGTCAAAGAGAAGAGAGGTAAGGAAAGCTTTGCAATAGTTAGCATGGATTGGTGATAGTTGATAATATTTTATGGTTTGGGTTTTTTAATTAATTTTTAGATATGCATACTACTTCTGTCATGGTGTGTCAGGCCATTAGTATGTAAAGTTGTAGAATTAATTGAAATTACACTAGGCAATCATAGCTGTATCTCTGTTGAATTATCTTACTTTCTAGTATAAGGAATAAACTGTTTTCCATATTTTTACTTCAACTCTTTTCTATACTATTAATGCCTGGAAGATAATTCCATATGTAAGTATTGTTTCTTTAACCAGGTGAGGTGATGCTATTATGTGACTGTGTATGCCAATAACTCTCCTGTCACTGAGAGAAAAAGAGAGGGTTTTTTGTTCAGCTGAAGTAAAATATGATGTATTGTCCAAAAATACAAAATGATACCTTTATAGCTGAAATGTGCAGGTCAACATGAATGTTGTGGAAACAGCTTTTATCTTACATGACCATAACGCATTTTTCTATTTACTGTTAGCTGCTTCTTTAAAACAAGTACAATGTAAAGTTTCTCCTTGCCTCTACAGCAAAGAGAAGAAACTCTCTCTACAGAGCTACAAAAACAAACTGCACTTGAGTTATATGTTTGATGTAGTTCTTAATGTTCTTCTCTGCAAATTTTGCAGCATTTGTGTGAAATATTGGAGAGGGAGAGACTTGCTTCTCATTGATCACCTTTATTACAGCAAGGAAGCACACCAATCTTTGAAAATTCATTCCATTCATACAAATGCGTGTATGAGTAGGCATATTCCCTTTCTTAAGGATTTGTATCTCTCCTGAACCTTGCATATGTGAGACATACCTATTTTTGAAATTTTATTCAAAATAATTCTGTATATCTTATGACTCAGATGGTTGGATTCGCACTCTGTTGGTCTGCCTCCTGAACCAGATATTTGTCTCTTGGCATAAAAAAAGTGTGGGGGTTTGAGCAATCTGCAGTTTAATAAATCACTGGTTTCTATTTGGTTTTTTAAATTATTTTTGCAGCTAATTTTTTGCCTTTTTTTGTTGTTGGAGCTGCATGTTGCAGGCATGACAACCTATGAAGTAAAAGGTACAGAGAAAATCACCTGTTATTCAGTACACATGAAAAATGGTAATTCTAGAAGGGAGACACTGAACTGAGGGGGGGGGGCGTGTGGTTCAGCAATTTAAATGTAATGTACCATTTCATAATGTAGTGAGCAAATATTTTGGATGTTAACAGTTTGCCAAAAAATACATATCTATAAGTATACATTAAAGCAAATGATAGAATCTGACCTGCTGTTGAAGGGAAATTCTAGAGAGACAAGCCTGAGTCTGCAGGATGCTTGAGGATGCAGAATATTTAGCTATGTGTAAAATGAAAAAACTTGGTGGGGGCTTTTCTGGGCTCTGAACGCATTATGGTGGGCATTCATCGTTCCGCTGAACCAAGGTGCTTACAAGTTGTCAATATATTTTGGATCGGAAACTCCCTGGACAAGTTTGCTCCCTGTAACAATAACATCCACTGTGTGTGTTAATTTAATGTAAAAACCAAGTCAGGCAATAAACGCATCAAAACCAACTTGACAAATTGTTTGTTCTCAAGAACTGGTGTAGTAAAGCAGCAAACTTCTGCTGGGTAGTGACAACTGACGTATTGCTGCAGAAGTTTTAGGCATGGTTTTTGTTCCCTTATCTGGCAGCTATAGCTCTTGATGCTCGGATTGATGCTGGAATTACGTAATCACGTTCCTTCAGGTTACTGCTCTGACAAAATTGTGAGAATGGGTTGGGGAAGTAGATTAAGATGAAACAAATGGGAATGGACTTAGTAGATTATTTTTTTGGCCTCATATGGGGAAATATAGCTGATTTATTAGACATTTGTCCTGACCTTAACTACTAGAGAAGGAAATACTACTATGCAGATAGCACAAACTTTTGTCATAAAAGCTTCTATGCGTGATTGTGGCTGAACGCTGAGTTTATCATCTCAGTAGTTGTGGCTCTGAAGCCTATCTGCTGTATGCCGGCTCTGCTGGGAGTGCCGAGCCCGGGTGTTACGGGGTTAGAGCACAGAGATGCTTAGTCTGAAGGACATTCCTGTGCCAGGCAGTGGAAGCTTGATGTGTGCGGTAGCTGCTCTCTGCTGCATGTGGAGTATGCTTGCGTGGACAGTCCGTGGGTGACCCTGCCCTCAGTTTCATTTAGCTCAGATATCCCTCTTCTGCTTTGATTTCATCCCATTGCTAGTTGTTATCTATGGGTGTTTTAAGTCGCTCCCTTTTCTTGCTTCATGAATGTAAGTTTATTCATGCCTGCCCTTACCATTCAATTAAATCAGTCAGTCGCTCTGAAGAATTATAAAATGAAGATACCATAGTGGTCTGTATTTACTAGGAAGGGAAATGCAAGGTAAAAATTAGAAAAAAATTAAGTCAAATTAATTATAAGATAATGAGACATGCTTGCTTCTTTAACTAATGGTTACATGTTAATGAATTATTTGGGCTCTGCATTAAAATATTTATATGCTATGCTACCAGAAAGCAGGTTTCTGGTATGGACAGTGTATCAATATGAGCTCTGTGATACATTAAAGCCTATATATTATACGGTAGACTAAATGGCAGATGTCTAGAAATAAGCCATACTCTGAGGCTTAATTCTCTGTAGCCATACAGAGAATGGCTACTCTGTAGCCAGACAAAGCCATACTTTCTAGCTTAATTCATCCAAGTATTATTTAATCTAAATAATTATTTCTTGTGCAATAATTTCCATAAAATTGCCAACAAAACCAGAAGTCAGCTTAGGCTTTCTTTGTGTGCTGAACACTGTGGCTGAATCTTGTAGCTGTGACTGCAATTTGAATGGCTGCCCTACTTGAGGAGATGAGTGTGAGATTAGGAGTCAAGACTGGTTTGGGTTTGGAATTCACACTGCTGAAGAGTAGTACTGCTGCTGAAGAGAAGACATCCTCCATCCACTGCCAAGCTGGCTCTGCATGTCTGAGCCATCTATTGCACTTCTTAGATTTCAGTTTTTGGTTGTTCTTATTGTAATTTTTGACAGGGCTAACTAATCTCTGTGAAATGCTGTAGTAAGTAATGAATTACGATTTGACTCCTCCCTATCAGCATTACAGCACGAAACATTTGTTCGTTTACATTAAGCAATTTGAAGATTTTGCTTCTGTCTCTTTCCATGCTTTTCATGTTATTTGTGCAATTGTTTTAAAAACAAAGCCAAAACCACTGCTTTCCTCCAGTGGGGACTTTGCTTGGTCGGGTAAAAAAAAAATAAAAAATGCAGGAGTGAGTTACCACGAGCAGGCGTTACCCGTGTACTGTGTCTGGAAGAACAGAGCACCCAGCCTCTGCCCCGTAAAGTTTTCACACAAAAAGGGACAGGATCTAAATCTGAAGGTATGGAAATAAAGCTATCATCTGGAGAAAAAGCTGGAATAAAACACTTCTTCTGAGGTTGTCTTAGACTTATATAAAGAAATTCTATATGAAGGGTATCATCCTCACTGATAGCTGAGAGCAGTTACCAGGGATAGACGCTGTATTGGTGTTGAGGTGGTTCACATTTTTTGTGTGTTTCCGACTCACCGTTGGAAGGCTAGCATTATTAGAAGCACTAAAACATGCACTGTAAAAGCTGGAAGCCTTTCTCTTTTACAAATGTCATCTCAGAAGCCGGTCGTGGTGCCAGTGCCAGCTCTCTGTGGCCCCTGGAAGGGTCCCGAGCTGCTTCTGCCTATCAGCCATGC